TGGTGCCCTCAGATTGAAACTTTCCGTCAGGCGGGAGTTGGCCTTCAGCCGCTCTATAAGTCCTTCCGCGGGTTTGGAGTGTCATCTGCACTCGCGGGATAGTCGACTGGACGATAGTCCGAGGAAGTTGTAAAGGCCAGTTGCTGCCAACAACATTAGAGTAGTCCGAAAAAAAAATTAACTCACGTTCTCTTGGTTTAAGTCACAGTAAACCAGTAGACCACGACGATTAGGAAAACAAATCAAAATTACAAAAAAGTCCATACATGACGTTCATATTATACATAGAAATAAGTGAGACCGATGTGCCCATGTACAAAGTTCTCTTTCTACAAAGTCTAGGTACTTTTAGGAGTCTATAAATCATGACAATTAAATATGCCATGATGAAAGTTTGCACTCCAAATATCGCATTTTAAAAACGAAAGGTAACCACCTAATTACGACGAAATATAAATTAACCGATAAAAATAATAGCATAATATATAATTAAAGTAATTCCAGTGAAAACCGCAAATTTAATTATCCATCAATTAGTAATAATACCAACTGATATTATCAACCGTCATGTATATTATACACGTGCCATTTCTTACATAAACAATGTCCCACGGGACAGGCATATCCCGTATTCATGAAATAGAAGTCGAATTGCTAATCTTGTATAATTAGGGTTTGTTTCGTTTTTTTAACAGCTGACACGACCTGTTTTTTTGCCATATAAATTATTTCTTAATAGGGCCACCCTTAAAACCCTACATGTAAAAAATAGCCTATACTTGAACCTACTAACTTTATAAAAATCGATTAGTCCTTTCGAAGGAGTTTGATCACAAATACTGTGACGCCAGATATTTATGTATTAGAAGACTGAATGCTAATTGTGTCCGCGGTTTACTCGAGTGATTTTATAGCCGTAGGCTATAAAATATTATTCCGATGTATAAGCTATATTATTACAAAGTTTCACTAAAATCCATTCAGTAGTTTTTGCGTGAAAGAGCAACAAACATACATCCAATCATCCACACTCACAAACTTCCGCGTTTATAAAATTATATAGTAAAATTAAAAAGATACTGTACGACCCGTACAAGTCTTTATCCTGACCTATTTTCAGGCTGTTTTTTCTATTTCAGTTCTTTAGTATCCATTTTGTTTTTATACTTTGACCTGTTTGTGAAACTAATGACGTTTTTAGGGGGTGTGGGATTTATTTTGTAATGGGGTTTAGTGTCTCCATTGCTAGCAATGTACCATGTTAGGTGGACCTCCACTCGCTACCCCTGGAAACCATCGTAGTTAATTCCTGGTCATTTAATCTTGATGTCATGTATCATGTAACGGTTTATGATCTAATGTAACATTATTTATAGACGAACACGGCATGAAAAATAATAGTTATATACAAAAGTTACATAAGAAAAATCTTAAATTACTGTTTTTTACTATGATTATGCTTATTATCGACTACTTTTTTTTCGAGCTGTATACTGTTGTCTTCAGCTGGCCTTTACAGCTTCACCGGACGACAGGGGGCGAGTGCAAATGGCTCTCCAAACCGCGGAAGGACTTATAAAGCGGCTGAACGGCAACCCCCGCCTGACGGATACCACTTTAGTCTGAGGGCACCGCTAGGTGTTCGAACCTCGGCTCAGGCCCTCTTAATTTCGATCCTTGTTTGAATTGGATAGGATTATCTCCTACTGTGCTTGTATGTGTGCGTGCGTGATTGTGTGTTTTTTTCCCGTATCGCCACAAAACCCACAAATCTTAACGGTAAACCTCTAATCTGGCATAGCTGTTCACTACGAAACTAATGGACGGTTTATGAAAAGAAATGTTAATTGAAATCGATTAAAAAAGACAAGTGTCACAATGACTGGCCATTGTGTAATCGCAGAGGAAATTTATAATTACAAATAACAAATAGGTTTTTATGTGCAATAATAATTTAATTACGTTCTTTGTACCTCAGTTACGTTAGTTTTCTATTTATGCTAATTGTAATCATTAACCGAGGTAAACTTTATACAAAGTCTTACTCTATGTGCCTTTGACGGTCTCGATGGCCTAGCGGTTTCGCACATCGCGGCATCGCTTTACGTCTGATGGTCGCGGGTTCGATTCCTCGCACGGTACAAACATTTATACTCATGTTTGTTTGTATTGGTCTGGGTGTTTTATATGTAGGTTGGACTCCATTTTCCGTAATCGGCCTCTCATTTGGGCCGTTGTGCGTGTGTGGTGTTTTATATGTGTACTATGTATGTATTTACAAATGTATCTATGTAGTTATATCGGTTGTCATAACACAAGCTCTGCTTAGCTTGGGTCTAGATGGCGTTGTGTGAAATAGCTTCAGATATTATTATAGTCTATCTCACTATGATTTATTTTGTTACTCAGGTCAAACTACAACTAGTCCTAATGAAATTTTATATGAAGACATTTTGTCTCATGATAAAACGTATTATTTATCTCCAAAATAAGCAGGCAAAATCTAGGACAACAAGTGGGCTTGACAGGAGAGGTGCTTTAGCTGTAATTGAGTGCAGTGTCAACCTTGCAAGCCATTTGCATTATAAATCGACCTTCATACTGTCCCGGGAATCAAAATAAATTGTTGTTAAATTCCGGTAAATTTGCTTAACTGGCCTTCATTAGCAGTGGTTCCCAAACTGTACGTTGCAACGCCTAGGGGCTAAGGGGGGATGGGGATTGTTAGTAATGTGAACTCATGACTCCATTACTAGTAATGTACCATGATAGGTTGACCTCCACGCGGTTCCCCCTGGAAACCATCGTGATAAATTCCTAGTAAATTTGTCACGATGGGCTAACTGACCTGACCTCATGCTCATCTTATCAGCCTCCACTGGTACACTTCCTTCCAGCGTAAACGCAGGCGGGTGCACTATTCCATTATCATCCGTAAAAAAATCTAGGGGTTTCGAGACTGTATCGAAAGGACATATGAAATACCCCTCACAGCACGTAATTGAGAACTTAAGTCCATAAAAGCAAACTTACATGTCATCAGTGTTATCTATTGTTTTTCCAAATACATAATATTTTTATCAATACTAATATTATAAATGTGATAGTGGGTCTGACTGTATGTCTGTTTATTCATGACTAAACATCAGAACATAACTTAATTAAATATGACAGGAATATTGACAATATTTATGATCACATTTTACTAGTATTATACATGTTAGTGAGTATGGATGGATGGATGTTTGTTACTCTTTCATTTTTCTATATATATTATTGTTCACTCTTTCTTGCAAAAACTACTGAACCCATTTTGATGAAAGTTCGCAGTAATATAGCTTATAAATCAGATTAACACATAGGCTATAAAATTAATGCAAGTGCAACTGTGGGCACAGCTAGTAAGCTTAATCTTTGAAAATAATTTGACTAGATTTGGAATAGAAGATGAAAGTTTATGCAAATAAAGTTGCAGGTAACAATCACTAGTTAATGATAAGATTAATAATATACATATGTTTTAAGTTTTATTAGTACATACTAAATATTCCACATGTTCATCACTTGCCACAACATGGGAATTACAAAATGTTTTATCTTCTAACATCTAAAGAGACTTTCAATAAAAAACAGTGTAAACCTATGTTTTATGCAACTTCTTACTTTCATACTATACTAATAATGAGTGCGTAGCGATTTCTATGTTGATTGTCGCATGCCTCTTACTTGTTACACTGTAATTATTTATATATAAAAAAACATCTATTAAAAAGAGCAACACACAAGTTTCTTGCTCATTCTTCTTGTGATGAATCTGCATTCCGAATGAGTGGTAGAATCAAAATATGACTATTCAAAAGTGCTTGTAATGAGTTTATTTGAATAAAGATTATTTCTATTTCTATTTCTATACACTGGAAGGTCAAGCTGTATCTCATGATTCACTTAATTATGATAAAACAAAGGAGGAAAAAAGAATTCATTTAATGAATCATGTTATACATACAAAAAACTAATTGTAAAAATTAATAATAATATACTTAAGTATTAAAAGAAACCTAAAAATATATAATAATAAATAATCTGTTATTACAAAGAAGTAAAGTATATTGTATTACTAATTTGTTTTAATATCTATATTTATGTAATATGTTATTGTATATCATAGGTATATATTGTATTCATTGTACTGTATTATATTTAGTATTCTGTGCAATGAACTTAAATAAATAAATAATTACTACTTAAATTATTAACACTGTATTACAGATTTCATTTTTTTATTTAAAACTCAAACTACTGCATCAATTTTGACACAAAACACATGTATAAAACATTTCCAGCTGTGACTTCCAGACCCAGCTGTTCACATGATAGAGTATTTTCATGTAATATTTTATTAAAATCTATTTAGTTGTAGAAAGGTAACTAACATATAGGCATATAGACAGACAAACTGTCATGTTTATATATACTTTTATTCCTTTATATAGTACAAAACTTACACATGTACCAAGCATAGTACATTATATGGATATGTTAATTAAATTAATAAATTTCATTTATGTCTATCAGTTGTATAATGTTTAGTAGAAAATAGTACAAGCCTTCCTATTTATAGAACTAAATGGACTGGTAAAATTACACCTAATATTATAAAGTTGGGAAAACCATAAACAAACAAAAAGCAGGAATTCTATTTGAGATAAGATTTTTTCAATAATGGCATCACAACATTTATATTCAGATATTATTCATTTGACAGCAATATACATAAACATACTCAAATATACAAAACATGTTTACATATTCATATCTATTATAACAATTTCTATGTTATCTAGCAGTCTCCCAGCATACTATTGTTAATGAATCTTGAATAATAATTAACAATTTTAAATAATTATGATAACTTTCTCCCCATTTACAGAGCAAAGTATTCTCGTTTATTCTTTTAGAAGTATGAATGAAAATTATTTAATGCATTATAAGTTACTTACGTCGTACGGTGCATTTTTGTCAGCAATTGAGCTCCTATCATTATCTGAAACGAGAAATATGGACAAAGTCAAGAATTGGGTTACGGATCGCTCGATTTTTAGGACACATTTCGAGTCGATTTTTAATTTGATAATATTAAAATTGCATTAGTGATTATTAGATTCTCATATGCAGTACCATCGTCATCCGTTTCATTTGCTCCTGTAGCATTTTCCGTCTTTCTAGATGAGGAACTATCCATCACTTCGATATGGTCCGTGTCTCCTGAAGCCATTTTTGTTTTCTTGTTACACCCCCTATTTTGAAGTCTTTATAATAAATGAATGCACAACATTAATTCTCATGGCTCACTTAACACTCGCATTAACAACACAACGATTCACTATAATTTAATTATAAGAAATCAATTAGTTTACGCGAAAATGCTCTAGCAAGCATCCGTCTGACACGACCGCTCATAGTACTATAATGTGTTGCTACTAGAAAAAAAATATTATCAATTCTTCTTTTTAGGACGACCAGAGGAAGGTTTTTTTTTTATTTTAAAGTGCAACAATACAAATGTCTTCAAAGTAAAAATATGGTAACTTTGAGTTTTCCGTCATCAAAGATATAGAAATAAAGGTTTTAGACAATTGTGATTTCATTATATTTGAATTCTACAAGTCGGGGTAATAAACCAAATAAAATATAATTTTTCTATGTCCTAGACCGTGACCGTGTGAAGGGGACAGAATCCCCTACCGGGAAGTTTCATGCAAGAAATCGTAACTTTAATTTCTGTACTAAATGAAAATGAAAATTTAATGTATGTGGATAGTAACATACTAAATAAATTAGTTAGTAAAACAAAGTTATGTTATTTGTCCACGGTGCGTATTAGCCTTTGAATATAAAAAATACTCTGTTCCCAATATTATTTATTGCAACACAGAATATCTAAACGCCATGTTTATTTCTTTTCCGTCATATTCGTTGTTTGCCGCGGTAAGAGTTTTAAGGTTATTTCATATCGAAGCGTCTTTCCATTTATACATAATAAATTTGTGTTTATGTGTATGAATCTACAAGTTAATATATCTCAATAATTTCTACAAATACTTTTTGGAATTTTAGTATCCATCTCTTCGCGGCGGTGGACATTAATAAAACATTGTACACTGACTAGCGGTATTCTATCGAAATGGGCAAAAAAATCAGAGAATACAAGTCGGGCGACTTTATTTTCGCCAAAGTAAAGGGCTATCCAGCTTGGCCGGCACGGGTGAGTATATCAGTTTCTTATTTGTGTGTTCATTATAAAATTCATAATAGATATTCCTATAAGAGCGCGGGAAGACATGTTTTAGTCGACGCTTCTATGTCTTTCTGACGCTTGGAATAACTTACAGATATAGTATGGAATATTTACATGGTTTCTTTTTGACATATTGTTTCAATTACAGTTCTTTTCTTCTCTATTAAATCACCTTTTATGTCTTTATATTAAGCTATTGTTGTTGCTTAGCTTTCTACTATTTGTCTATCGAAACTATGTACTCCGTATCCTAGCTAACTAGCTACATATGCAATTAACTCTTATCAACGTAGTTAACGTAAAACAGAACTTAACCAGTAGAAATTTGTAAAGTAATCAGTGTCATTCCTATATACAAACTTATTGGTTAATTATTGTAGATGTACAGCTTTGACTATTAAATATTTTTGTTTTGTTGCTATGTGGGAAAATAATAATATATTCAGTTTTCTCTAAACCTTTTAGTAATCTATTGACATTAGTTGTTCTTCTATTCTATTTTCTATTCTATTCTTCACTCCAACCTTACATAATGTCTTAGGAAAACTTACTTTTTCTATGCTTATATTGGTTTCTTGCAAATTAGACTCTGCTAGTCATAGTCAATATAGACCACTTTGTGTAACATCACAACAAATAATAACAATAGATTTAATTATTTTATAAGATTAATAACAGTATTATATTGTATTATAATTATATACCTACTTTCTTATTGGGATTATTAATAATTTTATGTATCCTGGATACCTACCTCCCATTTTTATGGTACTGTAATAATGTATTGTAACCATGTGCAGTGTAGCAGTGTGGGACATAGGGGTCATTAAAATGTAGTTAAGTGTAGTCTCATACATTATACTTGCGAGAATAAGAAAAACATACATGAAGCCCCACTTTTTGTGTGTTTTTCTTATTCTGAAACTGCTTTCTGAATGTATAGCAGATTAAAGAAGTGACTATTCAAGTGCTTATATTACGTTTATGTGAAGAAAGATTATTTCTATGCATTAAAAATAAAAGTACATAAGTGTACTAAATTGCACTTTAATCAAATAGGACAGATTCCAACATTAAATAGGAGCAGTTACCAAATTGCATATTAATCACACAACTAGTTAATGGATGAAAATTGTTTGCAGTTTTATAAAACCTAAACCAATTATTATAATAGAATTAAATAGCTTAAAAAAACTATTAAAAAGATTTTAACATACAGATATTATACATTGTAACTGGTCTATATCATTGTGGAATATTAACTGGGATGTTGTCATGACGGTTTCATGGGGATTGCATGGAGGTCATCCTTGTATAGTGCTACCAATAGGGTCACTAGTCCCCATCACTATCCCTGTCCCCCAATCTAATTTAGATTCTAACATTAATAATTATATCTCTTTTGTGTACAGTAAATTATTTGTAATAAAATAACTTAATGTAAATGTGATTTCTGAACTAAAGGTAGCCTTATTACTTAAAGCAATCTCTTACAGATTAAATTAATATTTTTTATTATAAGGATTTTATTAATGTACTATATTTAATTGTTTCAGGTGCAAAGACCAAATGGAAAGAAATATTTTGTATATTTCTATGGTACTGGGGAGACGTAAGTTCTTTTTATTCATTTAACAAAATTAATTTATTGTTTGATAATATTATCTTCAGTTGGCTTTGATTACATTCATCCTTACAGTAGATTTCATTTATAAAAGTCTGTAATACATCTAAATAAAACATGATTAAAAATTATTGTAGGTATATTTTGGTTCCTGTCTCTTTAAATTGTGTGTGTGTTATTTTAATGGTTATTATAGAAAGCAACAGATAAATATTAAAGATTAAAAGAAAGAAAAGAAGGTCTTGTTCTGTGTTCATTACATCTCTTTATTAGTGTCTCCACTTAATACATTTTGCAATAGAATTATTATTAATAGTATTAGTAACAAAATTGAACATTAATGTTTTTTTATTAATCATTATAATTCTTATTATAAATGTATTTCATTAGTTATATTAGATTCCGAACCATGGAATGCCTCAGTCCCCACTAATTCAAATAAATATGAATATAATTACAATACTGTAAAGTATATTATTCACATAGTTAAAGGGTTTTAACATAAATAATTTTATAATAAATATTATAATTATTTTATGTATTATTTTTCAGTGCAAACTTACCACCAAACATGATATTTGACTACGCTGAGAATAAAGACAAATTCTTAACCAAAACAGTGAAACGCCGAGATTTCAACGATGGTGTGAAGCAAATTGAATATGACTTTGCTAACAATGTACCTTTGGAGGACGTCATCGGAGTGCCTCTGGAGGTAAATATAGCTGTTTATTACGTTTGTTGTGGAATAAGTGTATGTCTAACTCATCGGTAGATGCTTTATGTAGTAGTGACTTGTGTGTTGAGTGTGATACAGAATGAAAGATCAATTCTTTATATTGACGAACATGTATTTTTAATTAGAATACAATAGAAAAGATATTGACTTTACAATGGCGGTCGGCAGAGAGAGAAAGTTGCCATTATACAAAATGGTAAATAAAAAATAATGAATATTGTTATTGCCGACAATATTTTATTTAATTATTTAATTTCAATGCACAAAAATAAAATGTACACATGGCGGAAGAAAACGCCCTGCAGCGTTATCTACCGCCATATTTATATTTTATTATTACCGTAAATAAATATATATATATATATATAATATCTATCTATCTCACAGGGAGTAGCAGACACATCTGCTAATGACACAGGGAACGAGACAGGCAATGACACGTTAGATGACACAGTAGCAGACACCACTGCAGCAGATGATACTGTCGCTGATGATGTAAGTTCCATTTAATAAAATTGAAATTTATCGACATAGAGATAGAGTTTATAATTATCTGTAGAGCTAGTTTGCATGTAAACCGTATGAAAGAGAGGTATGAACTTAGCGTTCGATGAATTCACCGTACGGGTGCCGGTTCCATTGAGTAACAGAACAGCAGAAACTCCAAGCAGTTCCCTCCATATCGGAAGAAAGAGAGATACAAACTTAATATTCCATGAATTCACCGTGGGGGTGCTGGGTACATCCTGTAGCAGAGAGGGCAACTCCGAGCATTTCGCGGGACTTGTGACCCGAGTGTACTTTTAAGGGGACCCTTAACTCAATAACGAATTTGTACTTAAAATTAAGATGCGGCTTTATTTGTGTGAAAGCTGATGATTGAGTTAGTTCTTAGTTACAATTAGAATAATTTTATAGTCCGTGTTTTTTATTCCTTAAAGTTTTTGTAGAAACATGTTGGAATATTGGATCGTACCATTAATACAATTTATAGATATAATTGTGTTTGGTCACGTCCAGTAAATTACAGATATGTCTTTAGCCAAAATTCTCACTGTAAGTGAAGTGAGAATTTGTCGAGGAGACTAACAATTTTGTACCATAGTTATTTCAACGTCAAAGTAGTAAATAAAATAATAATAAATAAATAAAAAAACCAGGAAATTTTATCTATAATTATTTGGCGATCTCGGTGGTCTAGCTGTTTAGCACTCCGCTTTACTTCCGATCGTGAAGAGTTCGATTCCTCGCACGGTGCAAATATTTGTATAAATGAGTATTATTGTTGATGAGGTAATATGCATAATATGTATTTACAAAAAAAGTAAATATTTTATCAATTGTGTAGTAGGTCATAACACAAGCAATACCCCAAGGTAGGGACTATATGGCGTTGTAAATTGCCCTGGGTCATTATTTATTATTATAATTTATATTACAGAGTACAGCCAACGTGACACAAAATGATGGTGGTATAGAAGACTCCGATGAGGCAGGTGCCTTGATCATTGATGAAGGCAACAAGGAAAAGGTGACAATCATTATTGCTTTGCCTTTATCCCATTATTTGGGGTCGTTGCTGTACATACTTTTCTTCCACTGATTCATATCGGCCGTCACATCTGAGCTTACTTTCCTTTACATATCATTATATTGGGAAGTTACAGAAATACGTCGTTACGGCAGATATGTCGTCGATGCAGCAGTATTTGATTTTTATTCCATTTTCAAATTACACGCCACATAAATTGCGTCGCTGTATTCCACGTCTGGTCGTCTCGGTTGCCTCGAACAGAATGAAGGCCGTTCTCTCCTCGTTTCCTTCCTCTTTGTGTCTGTTGGTGGCGGCATAATAATGACGCCACCAACATCACGTGACTCACTATGGTTCCAAATTTGAAATGTAAGCAACAAATTAGTCAACTGAGTGTTCTTTATGTATTGAAGCTAACAATACATACATACCGAAAAGGTGACAGTAAATAATAATAAAATACTTTTACAAAAATAATCCCAGTGATGCCAGGTCGGGTGTATTCAGCCTCAAAAGTGGGGAATTTGCGGCGATAGAAAGATATTTACCAGAAATTTGTGCCCAGGAAAAAATAGGAATACTGAAATATGGATTTTTGTAAATACATACATAACTAATTTGTGATAAGTAATTTGTATCGTGGGAATCGAAACCGCGATCATTGGAAGACAGGCAATGTGTTAATACCACTGGACCACCAATGTCGTAATGTTTATAGTAATTTAACTTAAGTTTATAATATTAACCCACAATTTTTCTAGAAGGGCAGAAAGTCCAATGCAAAACCAGCCAAGGAGACGCCCGCCAAGCCGATAAAAGAACCCAAGACACCACGCGGCAAAGCCAAGAAAGAGGAGACTAAAGAAGAGGACAAAGATGATGAGAAGAAAGAAGAGGAAATTGTCAGCAGAAGTGGGAGGAAAATACGTCCCAAGAGGTATTTTATTTACAAATGGTATTTATTAGTAGATACTTAGAACGGCGACCCTCGAATATAATCAATTAAGTTAGTATAAAATAAACATGACCACGTCAATTATTTATTAAATACTAGCTACTCGTCCCGGCTTCGCCTGGGTGTACATGTGCTATATATATAAACCTTCCTCTTGAATCACTCTATCTATTAAAAAAAACTGCTTCAAATTCCGTTGCATAGTTTTAAAGATTTAAGTTTACTTTATTTTATACTATGTAATGATAATATTTATATATTTTAGCATGTTATTTATTTTAATTGTGAGTCTCCTTTATAAAATGGTAAAAAATAACTACAGAGTTGGACGTTTTCAGGTATATAGATGAACAAACAGACGAGAACAGCACATTGCCATCGCCGGCGCCTAAGAAGCGTCGCGGCGCTTCACCGCCAGTGGAGAAAGAAAAAGAGAAGGAAGAATCTGTGAAGGAGAAGTCTGTTGAGAAGAATTTGAAGCAATATCATACCATTTCACAGGTATAAAATTGAAATAAATAAATCCTCCTGACTTAGGACTGGATATCACTGTTTTTTATATTAGGAGCATTTTTTTTTAATTAATAATAATAGTATGGTGACTTCACTGCCCTAACGGTATACACTGGCGGGGCACCAGTAGACGATACAATGAAGATGAAGTTAGGTCAGCCCATTATGGCATATACACTCAGAATTAACCGCCTGGATCCCCTGGAAAAAAGGGGAATCGTGTGTAGTTCGACATGATTGGGTATAAAATTGTATAAAAACAATTTACTAATAATCCCATTCACTTGTTTAGTCATTATCAATGTTGTGATGAACGCAACACTTCACATGGCCACATTTATCTCAGTATATTTTTAATAGAAAGTACCAGGGGGCGAGTCTACCTTCGTCTCTGATATTAATTTTTGATTTGATATCAGCGTATCCGTCACTGGAACGTTAGTCAGAAGTATGCATAAAAATACTCTTGTGTCAATACAAAAGTATTTTTTTTTGTGTTGGCCAGATTTGAACTTGTGACCTCGTGGTGTAGTAAACCACTAGGCCGCGACGCTGTCGAGGCTTTGTACAAAGTCTACCACAATGAAATTTCAGCATTTGCATGCACGTTTATTATAGTGCTTATTTAGTTGAAATATATTGAAGGGAATTACATATTATTAACATTTTTTCTTTATTTTTAAAATAAATGTTTTTCTTACTTGTTACAGTCTGATTTGGAAAATTTGAAGGAACCGTTCAAACAAGGTAAGTGTTTTTAAATTGATAAGCTTTATAAACCATTTTTTTTTATTTACATGCAAAATATCTGTTTTATTGAAACAAATATTTTTAACTAATATGTCAAGTGTACAAAAAAAATGTTGAACTAGACATCCTTTGAAGGAAGTAAAACAAATATGTTGTAATTTAATGAATTACTCAATGCTAATAGAAGTATAACGGAATTCCTTTGATTTATTTTACTTTATTTAAATTTACGAAGCAAAAATCGCAATGTTCTAAATTTAAATTTCATGTTGCCGCGAACATGATATGTCTTATTATTCCGTTAATTACAACATGGACGACTTTTTAACTACAAGCTTAATTATTTTTAATGAATATAATAGTATAAGATAAATATAAGAAATATAAGAAAAAAAACCACAATGTTCCAAATATAAATTTCTCATTGCCGCGAAAAATACATGCTTTATTATTTAGTTCAAGACAACATGGACGACGTGTTAAGTACTAGTTTTATTACGATCAACATTTTTAATGAATGTAACGATAAAAATCAGTATGTTCGAAATTTAAATTTCATATTGCCGCCAAAATTACATGTCTTATTATTTAATTCAAGACAACATGGACGACGTGTTAAATACAGGTCTATTTACAAACAATATTTTTAATGAATATAACGATAATATTACATTAGAAACGTGCATAAATAAGTTTGAAAATGAATTTATATCACCTAATACTGACAGTAGTCCAAATCTAACAGGTAATTTGAAACAAAATTTTATTATATTGATTGATTGTATTGGGAATTTTTTTTATATACTTAATTATGTATTTAGCTATATTCACGCCATATTCCCTACGGGGTAGACATTTAGGAAGTGAATTATTATCAAATTATGTTTATTTTGAATGGAATGGCTGAACGATTTATTTAATGTAGTTTTGTTTAATACAGGTTTGTTCCATACTAATATCCTATGCTCAAATGTGTGTCTGTTTATGATCTTTTCACTTTAACGGATTTTAATATAATCTTCACAAAACGGATAATAAACTATCTGTGGCCTAAAACTAAACAATAATGGTATCAGTCTAAAAAAAAATATTTATCTTTATTTTCTTCTGAAAATATGAAACAATTTTTCAATGATTTATTTCTATTAATATTTTACAGTAACTAATAATACAACTTCTTTAAATAATAAAGAAAATAGTAAACATATTCAAGATAGTATCAAAAGAACAGTACCGACATTTGGTAAAAAAGAAAACGCTAAAACTAAGAAAGATAACAAGAAACCCATTTCGAAACCGAAACCTAAGAAATTTGTTGCACCTATTAAAACTAAGAACAACACGGATAATCTAATTGTATTCAATACAAACAATACAGAAGTAACTTCAAATGTTGGCAATAAAAAAGTACATAATGTCAATGAAAGGCAATTCAATAATGCGACAGATATTTCTTTATCTAATATGTTTCCAAATGATTCCAATGAAACATACCAAGAATGTTTGTCAAACACACCAAACTTTTATGCCAACACATACTTGTCCAATAATTGTGAACTCAATTATTCTGCACCAACATCTTCAAAACATAAGAACGTATCAAATACATTGGGTTGTGTAATATACGGTTCGTTAAATGTATTAAATGATGAAGATATGACAATGTCACAGAATAGTGACAAGTCGTGCGTTCATTTGTCACAAAGTCGCGCCGAGTCTTTCTCTTCTGTGGTCTCCCTAAAGAAGACTTACAAAGACTTGGATGCAAAGAGTTTTGAAATTCAAGACATAAATTGTAACTATCAAATGGAAGATGCAAATGTAGATGTAAATAATTATGAAGCTGGAGATTCAAGTAATTTTAATATAGAAGGAGATGCAAAGAGTTTAGATACACAGAAATGCCATAAAATTCCTGAAGGCGATGATTTTGTTAATTTATTTCGTAATATTGAACTTGTAAAGGTGAAACCGGTAGCTATGTCAACTAAATATGGTGATATGGGATTTAATATTAAATATGCAGAGTATACGAAATCTAATGCAATTCATCATGACGATTCTAATGATGATAAAGAAACATATGCGAAAATATTAGAAATGTATCCAAAGGAAAATAGCCTTTTAATTAATACTATTAGAAATTAAATTATATTTGCACTTTTTGTAATGAATAAATAAATTATAATTTTGTAAATAAAATTCGTATTTTTTATAATAAAAGAATTAAGGTAGGAAATTAAATGGTATAGAGGTATGGCATATATTAACTCTATATCATTTGACGGCTTGGTTGTCTAGTGGTTCAGCACACCGCTTTACTTTCGCTGGTCGCGGGTTTAATTCCTTGCATGGTGCACGCATTTGTATTCATTAGTATGATTGTTTGTAGCAATCTGGGTGTTTTCTATGTATATTATGTATGTATTTACAAAATGTATCTAATTATTTATATCAGTTGTCTAGAACCTATAACACAAGAACTGCTTAGCTTAGGACACAGCACCAACTATGCTGTGAGAATTGTCCTGAGGTATTATATAATATATGTATAGACACGTCACCTAGCCATCTTAAAAATAAACAGAAGTTTTATTCTATTCTTACCAGAAGTAAGCTGTAAGAAGTCGTCTGCGTCGATCTATACCTCAGTCTAACGTATTTCGTCGCTATGCAGCTTTCTAAGCGTTGTTTCTGTTTTAAGTTGAGATTAGGTAGTGAAATTACAGGATAAGAGGCATCTTTGTGTTCAGGAATGGCAATTCATAAGTGTTATCACGGGTGTCAAATGATATTAAGATGTAGTGCTGTTCATGTATATAGGTGACGATTACAGCTCGTCTGAATCAGGGCATGTTTAAAATAATTAGTTTTAAGACCGTTGTAAATAAATTATGTGACAGTGATAATTATGATTTTATTGTTTAAACAGAGGACACTGAAAAAGACAATATCCTGATCACATATCTACCTACCGGCCAGTACGTGGGTATAAAGCTGTTCCAATCGAGGCCTACCTCCTTCAAGAACGAATCATCGCGGCTGCAGTGGGACAAGCAGGCCGCCTCCAATGCCGTCACGCTCAAATTACAACTAGGTGAGTTTAAAAATATTTTTACTTAAAACGTTAGACCGCTTGACCACCGGTGGGTCTCCACAACGAAACTAAATTTACACATTGGAACGGGGGGATCACACGTGGGCTCATTAATTGAAATAAATATAGGGGTTACATAATTTCTACCTCAAATTATTGTACACTAAAACATATTTAAAAAATAATATGCGTAATCTTATATATAAAATTCTCGTGTCACAGTTTTCTCCGAAACGGCTTGACCGATTCTCATGAAATTTTGTGAGCGTATTGAGTAGGTATGAGAATCGTCCAACATCTATTTTTCATAAATGTTAAACCCCTAAATTTTTTTTTTATTTTAAGGCAAAACTACGCTTGTCGGTACAGCTGGTAAACAATAAAAAAAAATTGCCGGTCCCTATGTGAGAAATAAGATTTTTCAATGCGACATTGATAAGCGGCTAAAATGTCCTAAATGAATAAATGTTTTATGATTGATTTGGCTTGGGACTATATGACGTTATGTGGTATTGTTTAATTAGTTTATTTATTTGTAATTGCACATGCATACACAATAAATGTACATATAATAAATTATCAATACACACATGGACTCTGCTTAAAGAGTGTAGCAATTTTGTAGATGACTCAATTCCATATTTTACAATACCCAAAAGCATCCAAATGATGTGCCTTTCCCATCATTGCCCAACATCCGCTTTCTGTTACAAATGTATAATTTTACCTAACATATAACATCTCATGCATTTCTTTTTGCAGAAAGAGGACAGATAAAACCAGAGTCAATACTGGCGCAGTTGGTGATGGAACTCAATCTCAGCGATGAGGAGAAGTCTACGCTCGACAATGAAAGAGAGACGGGTCAGTGAATGAGAGATATATGACCTCAGTTGTGTAGCGATTTCCGATTGTCGCCGGTTCGATTGCTCGCACGATTCAAGACAGTTGTATTCATTTGTATGATTAAATATGCATCATAATACTGATGATGTATTTATCAATAAAAATTATTAATATTATTATTATCATATTTTGTAGACGAGAAGAAATCCAGAGTGCAGTTTTTGAAGACAGAAATGAAGTTAATAGAACTTGACGCGAAGATAAAAACTTGCCTGTGTTTAGAGAAAGCCGATACGGAGTTGTGTCTCAAACTATTAGACGAGTTAATGGGTGAGTACAATATTCATTCATTCATTCATAATTTAAGAGCCGCGCTCTTATCTGTGGAGGTTGTATATTCCGTATACGTGTAGCAAAAACTTTGTAATCATTTGTACGAAAGATGCCCGTACAGAGGAGTACGAATTTTCGCACACTTTAGTTTATATAGAAAAAGAGTGCAGTATCAGAATATTTTTTAATTATGCATAAAAATGCATTATATCATTAGAAAAAGGATTACACACACTACCATGTGTTTGACACGCTCGCAGCACGTATAGAATATAACTGTTATTGCTGGTTCAAAGATCTTTTTTAGTATTTGGTAATTTTGTGACCACTAGTAAGAATCTATACTTGTTTTCCAGAGCTGGAAGTGAAGCCACTGATGCTTCTCAAACACCCGACGTGTTTGGAGACAGTGAAGCGTATGAGGGCATATGTTGGGAACACACCGTCCTGGGACTTGAGCGAAAGCGCCGCCCTAGTGTTCAGCAAACAGGCGCACCGCATTCGGAAGCAGGCTGATACATTATATAAAAATATGAAGGTATGTCTAAACGATGCACAAGCATTTACGTAATGGTGTGTGAAGCACTGAATCACTGGCAGAATGTGGCAGGATTGGTACATTCGAAAGCCCTAATAATGGGCTACTTGACTCAATACTCCAGTAGACTATTGCTATTGAGTAGTGTATATATTGTATATACATCGGGATTAGGGTCTCACTGGAGACTGCAAATTGAAAATAAACACATGGCAAACTTAGGCCTGTGCACAACAAAAATCTGCAGTATATGCCAAGCTAAAGAGCAAACGCCACTACACATCCTATGTGGTTGTAGTCCACTCATGTATAAACGAAATATCTCCTTTGGAAAGCTTACACTCTAATTTACAAGCTAAAAATAATCACTTCTAAGAATATTCTTCAATTCTTGTCTCTGACGCTAGACCCGTAGTGAACTCTAAAAAACGCCGAGCACAATAGATCTATGTAATTGCAGAGCTACAGGTTAAACCTGTACCTGAACATTTGACAAGACAGCACCTGAGTGACCTTACAAATCTGACTACAACCTACATACAGCTTACAAAACTACTTGTTCCCTAAAATAGGGGAGACTGGGGGATCCACTCATACAACTTGTTTATAGTATACCTTGATATATTATTTAATCATTACAATAAATTATTCATATTACAGGAGCTATTCATCACACCTGATGGTCTGTCATTCTGGGAGTATTTCTCAGAACGCGTGATTCAGTTCAAAAAGATCACGTCCAAATTCAGCGCTGATGAGCTATTGGAGATGGTGCACGAGCCTTTAGGTATGTTAATACTTTTATAAAAAATATTTGCAGGTATTTCTAATACAATTATCATGAAATCATCTAATACTATCTAGGTAACTGTATCCCATAATGTACACAAACTTCATAATTACCTCCGGGAGATGGCGTGGCGAGTGAGTATGTTATAATTTTAATATATTAATAACTCTGGACCATTCACTCATCACCATATAGTCCCAATGCAAAAAGAGATTGTGTTATGAGTATTATGCAACTGATAGAAGTACTTAAATACATTTTTTTTAAACTTACATAATATACATAGAATACAAACAATATACTCGTGCGACCTTTGGTAGTGAAGCAGTATGCAAAACCGCTAGATCACCAAGGTCATATATTAATGTATATTAATCTTACTTTACCAGAGCTGTCACTCCCTACCGCTCATACTATGAAGGCAGCAATAGACGCAGCGAACGATGAAGAACTAAAGGACGGAGAGGAGGTTAACGATAAGAAAAAGAGTACACCAGGTAAGTCATGGTTTTAATTCCCAAACAAATACCTGAGAGAGAGATATTATCCAAAGTCGTCATATACAAGTGTCACAGTAATTTTTTATGTAATTTTAATGGGAATCAATAAATCTAAATGCTGAAAACAGAGCCCATACAATACAGAAGGCAAATAAGTAACGACCCTTCTGATGGAAAATTAAAGAAAGCAACCTTTGACTTCTTAACCTTCATAGTCTCAACAGCGCCTCAAACGTTACGTCATGTGACGACGATGAATGGCAATTTACTACTGGGGATACATACGACTACGACTGCTAACTCAGATGGGGTAGATTCTTTATCAACTGTAGATTTTGTGGTAACATTTCGTTCGCTAATATTTTTTTAATCCAACGTAGCAGGAATGAGCCTCCTACCGTCACTCGGATTATAATTTGGTTTGATATGGGTGTTTCCTTTACAGGAGAATTAGTTTTTTTTTTATGTGTATGATAATGGAATGATTCACCCGCCTGCGCTAACGGTTTACGCTGGCGGGGCACCAGTGGAGGATGATAAGATAAGCATGAGGTCAGGTCAGTTAGCCCATCATGACAAATTCACCAGGAATTTAATACGATGGTTTCCAGGGGGAACCGCGTGGAGGTCGACCTGAGATGGTATATTGCTAGCAATGGGATTATCAATCCACATTACTAACTTAAATTCCCTTCCCCCCAGGAGAATTTCTTGTTTCTTTTGTGACAACAAGATTTGATCTCTCGATATCTTGGCTGTAAATTAGGTTAGTACATCACTAGACAATGCTAGTCACAACGTTCACGACGACAACGTTTTCAATGCAAATCACAAGAAATTGCGAAAAAACTATCAATGTCATTTATTACAAATTACGAAAAATCATTCACAATTACAATATTTTTATATTTTTGCAGTAAAACCAAAGAAAACTGCTAATAACAGCACGCCGGCAAAAACAGCAACGAAACGGCAATCTTCTAGGAAATTACAGGACGACAAAGATACGAATGCAAAGAAAGAGACAAATGCAAAAAAAGACACCGTCGAAGAAGAAGAAGCAATTGAAAAAACAGATACTCCTAATGATATTTTAAAGGAGGCAGAAAAACCAGAGGAAAATAACAAAGATGCAGAACCTATGGAAGTAGATAATGTAAATGAGACTGCGGAAGAAGTCAACAGTCTAAAAGAAAATAGTTCAGATGACAAGAGTGTAAAAGAAAAAAATCCAAAAGAAAAGAATGCAGAAGATAAAAGTACAAAAGAGAAAAAGAATTCGGAGGACAAGAGCACTAAAGAGAAAAAAGATAAGAACTCAGATGAGAAAGGTTCAAAAGAGAAAAAGGAAAAGACTTCAGAGGATAAGAGTACAAAAGATAAAAAAGACAAGAATTCAGATGATAAGAGCATAAATGAGAAGAGTCCAGAAGATAAGAGCACGAAAGAGAAGAACTCAGTAGAAAAGAGTCCTAGTCCGGTTGAAAAAGAAAAAGAGAGTGATAAAGGTAAAGATGACGAGGCAAAAGAAGATAAAGCAGAATCAAAAGAGGACAAAGAGAAGGAAAAAGATGTAGGAGAACCTAGAGCGAAAAGATCGAGAGAGGTTGGTCACTAGTTTTGTACTATATAACTATTTTTTATAAATTACTAGCAACCCACTTTGCTTTCACATGTGTGTACAATGATTATAATAATTATTTAATTAATATTTTTTTTAATACACGCATAGAATTATAGGCTTTGACAATAGAACCTTAATAATGTAAAAAATTATATTTTAAATTAATTATGCTGGAATTACAACTACTGGACGGACAATTACATATAAATATATCTACATATTTTTTTGAAATCGTTAGTAGAACAACCAACATATCTATAACATATGAAAGTGGCATGTTCTTTGGTAATTGATCAAAAATATTATAGTCTATTTCCGATCGTCGTGGAGGTTTTAGGGGGAGGCTTCTGTTCAGCAGTGTATGCATGTATATTACATTGATTTAACAATAGCTTTATTTTTTTACATTTTTATTTTATAATTCGGCACTAATAAATACATAGAACCCAATTTTTTTTATATTACTATGGTGGCAAACCAGCATACGGCCCATCTGATGGTAAATGGTTACCGTCGCCTATGGACGCCTGAAACACCAGGGTCGTTACGTAAATTTTCATTTTTCCCTCTTACCATCAACCCCTACTGTTATATGGTAAAACAACTTTGCTGTAACAACTGGTATACACTCATTTGTCATTGTTTTTTAGACCAAGAAGACTGAGCCCCCACCGCCGCGGTCACCAGCGAAAAGGAAGGCAAAAGTTTAAGTGTTACCAACGTTGCAAATTGGATTATTGAATTATTTTTATACAGTGAATAGCTGTGTCAAGATTGACATAAGGACGGACGAATATATTTTATTCAGTGTAAAAATCGATATAATAATATAAAGACGCCAGTTGTAATAGAAAACTCACTTAAATTATCCTGAGTTATAGATGTAGATTTTTTTAATGTGATGGTAAGTGGTAGGTACCTATTCTAGTACATTAATAGCGCGTCACGTGTACATTTCTTTGATTTTTAGAGGCTTTCGTTCAATTTAAAAGCACATGCTAATCCCATTGGGTGCAATGGGGTAAAACTAATAGCTACATCACTTCACCAGCGAGCAAATTGCAGGTGTTGCCTGAAGAAATCGCTATTGAGCGATATGGCCGCCCATTGTTAGCTCTGTATTGTAATTGTTGTTTGTTTATATTTGGTATAGATATTAATTTATGAATTTGTTATCTTCTTTCTATGAGAGGAACAATAAAGATATTTTCATTCATTCATTCTTGATTTGTTGTTCTTTTGTTCTAGGAGGATTTAGCTTACAAATGAGATTTTCATTCATTCATTAATTCAAATTGCTATAGACGCGACATCCGAAGGATCGGCTCGTCAATAGTACATGAGTACCATTCTTGATTTGTTGTTCTTTTGTTATAGAGGATTAGTAATAACTCTTTAAACCAACAGCTTGCAAAGCAAGCTGCCTAATCTCAAATCAGTGAGGCAAAGGTATACAGAGACTATATAAAGTTTAATTGTTAAATACAATATATAAGTACATATATGTATTTCACTTTGCAACAATTTATCAAAGGTAGACGAAATTATAAATAATCTATAAATATTTAGCTTCTTCTATCATATTTAACACGATCTGAAAGTTGTAACTCATAAAAATACTAGTCGTCATCCAAAAGAAGACTAATTGGCGGTAAATCATCTTTAATTGTACAAAATTAACAGCAACACAACAGTACAGTTGACTAGTAGAAGAAGCCATTAGGCATTAAGTCTTACATATATACAATTTTCTGTGAAAAAATTTAAATAAGTAATTAAATAGCAACGGATTTTAATGCAACTTTTAGCAATAAATAGAATTCAAAAGGAAGGTATGTGAAGTCATATTAACACGTATGTGTTATAGTATAGAACAAGCCCAGAAATTCAAAGATTTGTAAAGCACCCGTCCGATGCCGGGACGGTCGCAGTTTATTATATTTTCAATTACTTACGATGATGATGATTTTTGTGCACCTGCGTCCTTATATTACTATATCGATAAGTATAATAAATACTAGTGATGTTTTAATAAATATTGTATTGTGTTCATATTCTATATCAACGCCCACACTATTCTACTGCTGGGCATATAAATGTATAAGAATGAGTATCACATTTCAACTGTTAGCCGTCAAAATGAGTGTTAGTAACGCCCCATCTGTGAGACCAATGACAGGACTTCTCACGGATGGGCCTATAGTGTCCGAGTCCAATAATTGGCTCCTTTCAGATGAGAGGATAAAACTATACAGAGAGTGTTTTAAACATTTGTTTTTGGGAGGATTAAGTTACGCTGTTAAAATTCGAACTTATTTCTAGTTTTGTGTATATTATTGTTTACTCTTAAGGAATATGAACATTAGACGTTTTTAAATTGTTCAAAAATGAATGTAAAATTGACAAATTAAAATTTTATTTTATAACCCCCTAAAAGCAAATATTATGAACTGTTACTTTATTTATATGACTTTTTTATTAAAACATCATTAGTCAATAGTCATACAATCTTTATATGTTAACTGTGACATACAATGTATGAGGAAACTCAATGATGACGAAATTCGAAAGTGTAACTTAGTGTAAATGGACTTTTTTTAGATTCCTAATATATTTTGTTCATGTTTGAAATAAACATGTATATTGTAATAAACATACAGAAATGATTGTGAATATATAGCAGCGACAGAATTATTACATTTGTAATATTTTTTAATGTTACAAAGATTACTGTAATGTAATGTTTTATGTTGATTTATTTACTTTCGATGTCTGGCTGTACTAGGATAATTTTTAACTCCAAGACTCCAAGCTTAGCATGTTGAATCAAATTTATAATTCAAAATTATTTTGTGTACAAGAAAAAAATATTGGAGTATCATTTATTACATATTGTACACATTATTATAATGTTCTAAGTACCGTAATAATATTATCTAAGAGCATCGCGATTTCGCTGTTGCAAACTTATTTCCCGTTTATATTTGTCGGCCTCCGATGGTCTAGTGATTTAGCACACCACTTCTGATGGTCGCGGATTTGTGTCCTCGCACTGTACCAACATGTATTCATGAGTATAATTGTTTGTATCGGTCTGGCTGATCTCTATGTATATTTTATGTGTATTTATAAAAAAAAAGTATGTATGTATTTATATGAGTTGTTCAGTACCCATAAAACAAGCTCTGCATAGCTTGCGTTTAGATGGCGCTGTGTTAATTATCCTGGGGTATTATTAATATTATATGTAATGTGTACAATTGTAAAGAGTCGTGAAAAACGAATAAAACAATGGTTACATACTTGTAAACTCTACAGGAATGTTTAATTTTAAAATGACATTTTATTATATTTATTCAAGTTTGTCTAACTCACTTGATAATTGCAGTTACAAACTGAAAATTGTTGGAATTGCAACTGTGAAATGATTCATATATAACAGTAATACTGTTGGTAAACCTTTTCCAATGAGAAGTTTGCAGTGTTGCATATTTGTCAGTTGTTATAATGTAATTGTCAGAAAGTTAGTCAAATTTTTTCATTCACTCATTTTACTATGTGTTATTGCTTTATTCACGTATATTTCAGTCAGATTGTGGTTGGTTCCCCTGATTTGATCAAACATTGATTAAATTGTAGTAGTATTAAGGAACAAGTACATACATATTGTAATACTATTTTTATCATCCTAGCGATTAGGTATTTAGATATATAGTTCATATTGTAAATATTTACAATAAATTTACTGATACCGAACCTTTCTTACATTGTTGTTTTGTTTCTGATACTAGTATTATTTGCCGTTTACGTGTACTTTTGTACATTCTGTCACGTACAAGAACTTCTATAAACACCTTCGGTGGTCTAACGGCTTAATTGACTTCGGATGATCGATTCCTTGCACAGTACGAACATTAATTGTGTTCATGATTATGATTGTTTGTATAGCTCTGGGTGTTTTATATGTATATTACGTGTGTATTTACAGAAGAAAATGTAGCTATGTCTTATATCAGTTTTCTAGTACCCATAACGCAAGATCTGCTTAGCTTGGGATTAATTGGCGCTGTATGAATTATCCAGGATTATATCTATTATTTTATTATTAAATAATCAATAATGATATATGGCGTATTTAAAATTACGAAACAAGCTATTTTTTCCCTTGATGTTTAGGGGTATATATATATATATATGACTGCCACAACAAGTAACTCTAGTTTTGTAAGACTCTTTGTTGTTATTGGTCCGGTTGAAGCGAAGACATGGCAAATTACAGGATACGAAGGCATGGTATTTTGGTCGTGCCGAAATGCAGTGGGGTAGAAAGGGGATCGTTAATAATGTGGACTGATCCCATTGCTAGCAATTTACCATGTCAGGTCACCACCACGTGGTTCCCCCTAGAAACCAATAGGATAAATTCTTTGTTCCACGATGGGCTAACTGATCTGACACCAGTTGCACCAGTGGAGGATGATAAGGTGGTAAACGTTAGCCGCAGGCGGATGCACCATTCCATTATCATCCATAAAATAGGCAGTATAGGCATCACCAGCGTCAAATGAGTGATATCAGTTATCTGGTTATGTACATACATTGATATCCATACATAGGTAAAATAACAAATTTTGCTATCTTTAAAAAAAAGTCATAAGTCTCAATAAATAGGAACTTTAAGTGAAATGTGCAAAAATCTAAACGTTAATAAAATGATATATATTAAAACCGCCTCCTGCGTTTTCTATTGTCTGCCGGATACATTTCTAGAATTTTCCTAGCACTTTCTTCTGCTTCTTCCTTATCTGAAAAAGTGTTTAGCTTTTTGTTAAATTTATACAAAACTAGCGGACAAACTTCTTACAAGCAACGCTAGCTGTTTAATTGTGTTTTCAAACCATCCAGTTATTCATTGAATTATACCCACAAAATTTCATCTAAATCAGTCCAGCCGTTTAGGAGTCATGTGACAAACGCGTTAAGAATTATGTAATTTACATATAATCATAGAATAACGATCATGAATATTCTAGAAGCATTATTTGTTCTACAGTATATTTATGTATTTCAATATAGCAGTTAAAAGATTAAAACAATTACTAATAGATTTTTTTTGACAGCAGAACTCAAACGCATTATCACAAAGCGACAATTTTATTGCATACTAACTATAGGTACCCACGGATTCACCCGCCTGAATTTTAAAGCTTGTGTTAGTCTAGTTAGATAAAATTATTAAAAATAAGATATAATAATTATTATAAAGTTTCATTAAAATCCATTCAGTAGTTACTGCGTGAAAGAGTAATAAGCATCCATCATCCACGTTTATAATACTACGCGTTTATAATATTAGCACAAGTACATTATATTAGTAAGATTTTATAATTATGTGTTTGACATTAATAACAATTAAGGTTGTTTCTTAGAGTTATGTGATCATCAAAAACAATTTTTAATTATCTTTTTAATTAAACTTATGTCTGATTTCAGAAGTCTTCACATTTCGCTACAAGTCAAAATAGAGTTAACCACTTACACGCTTCTTCTGTTGTATCTTCCATATTCTTTTTATTCAATAACTTCATATCGAAACCTATACCTTCAAATTCTACGTTCATACAATTAGATCGAACAGATTTATTCTCCATAAAATGTAAAGGTGCAAATACAGGAGCGTATATTCCTTGAAATAAACTCAAATATTCATCACCTTCAGGTATAATGTGGTTTTCTCTATAACTGAACTCGTCAGCATATTCTACTCTACTAGTACCAGGTAAATAATGTCTATGAAAATTTATTCCAGACGCATTTTTCAGTTTATCAAATTCTGCTTGTTTTTTATTCACAGTTTTAGCTCTAAAGTTAATTATAAAACCATCAATATTCGCCTCTTCCTCAGTAATGAATTCAAAATCTGAAGAATGGTAGCTACAATTATCTGAAGAATCATCATTCACATCAACTTTCATATTTACTGTTTCATTGTTTGGTTCATCTGCTGGTCCATTAGTAACGGCTGAATATTCGATATCGTATGTTGGAATTTCAGTAATATTTTCATCTAAATCTAGTATTTTGTCATTATTTATAAGCATGCTATCTGTAGAACTTAACGATATAATATCTAAACTACAATTAACATTGTTAGATTCAAAACCAGCAACTTCATCGTTAGAATTTATAGATATAACATCAATGTTTACAGTTTCTTTATTTGTTTTAGTTTCTAACGTAATTTGTTTTTCATCCATTCCATTTGTATGTATATCTGCATCTATGTTGTGTAGATAATCTTTATCTGGTGAATCATCATGTGGAGCTACACTGTTATTAATCATAGTATTATTTAAATTATTCAGAGTACAATTGCTATTTGATGCATTATGTTTATTCTCTTTTTCAAGGTCTTTGTTTATAATATCATTAATATCATCCAGTTCTTTCTCACTAACTTCCCTATTATTCAATGGATCGTATTCGTTATCATTGATTTTACTTGTTGTTTTTTCTAAGATAGAGTCAAATTCATCTAAATCAATAATTGGTGGGTTGTCAATCGTATTTCCATCATTGGAACCAAATTCAACAGTTGTTTCAGTGTTTAATGAATTTACTTTTTGAGCGTTGCAATAAAGTAAAAAGGAGTGTTGAAAATCACGCACTCTAACCATACTTTCCTGCCTGTTTGTTATTCGATTATCATTCGAAATATAAGATCCCATCATAGAAACTGTAAAAGAGAATTTCTTAGTAATTACTCATTTTTATAATAATCTTGGACAATACATACAGCGCCATCTTGTCTCTAGCCAAACAAAGCTTATGTTAGGGTATTGATAGTCTACGAATTATTATTTGATAGTAGGTACTTTGGTACTTACCAAATTACGAGTAGTAGGTTCACAGCTAAAATTAATTTTGTATTTATTTTAAGACATATGAACCTGGCAAATTTCATAACATAAGTGCACATAATATAATAGCTGTGCCCGGGTGGTCACACGAATGAAATTTTGTAGCCTATGTTATTCTGATGTATAAGCTATGTTATTGTAAATTTTTATTAAAATCCATTCAGTGGTTATTACGTGAAAGAGTAACAAATATCCATCCATAATCACAAACTTCCACGTTTATAATATTAATATATATTTAAAAATGAAAATATATCTAATTTAGGTTTTGAAATGACTATTAGAAAAAAATTACATAAAATAATATAATACCTATAATAATAATGTTAATTATTGTTTTTGTAAAACGCCATAAAATTCTTAAATTATTGAAGCCGTAATTTACAATAGATATAGAAAATACATTTATTATATATAATAATAATGCGACAAGTGCTTAAATTTACTTTGAAGAAAACAATTTGAAAATTAACAAAATTACGCGGGCAGGTTCGACTCTATTGTTTTTTAGTCGCATCTGTCAAGGACAGGCCAAGGATACATATCTATACAGCCTAGTGTGGTCTGAATATGATTATTATATAACCTTAATATTATTATTTAAAAAACATTATATAGGAATATATTACAGTAGCATGTAATATATTCCTATATAATAATACAATAGGTGGGTTAACTCAAAAACTTTAATTGATGTTACCTAGCATTTCTTAGTAAAAATATTTTGAAATTTTGCCTGTATTGTTCGAAATTTAAAATATGAGTTGATAGCCTGATCTCATATTTTGTTTCCAACATAAATCAAAGTTTATAATTATATTTTTTTTAATTTAGATGATAAGTCACAAAGTTTTAAAAAAATGCTTTCCAACGATGGTTACTTTGCTTACGTGTTGGTACTATATAAATTTTGCCAGAATTAAGGCCTATTATACTATAGAAAATTGAATAAAATTGAATACAATAATTATAAAAATACAATTATTGTATTCCACAAAATTTATAGATAATTTAAATAATTGTAGAGTACAACTGTGAACTAGAGCACAGAAAATATTTACTATATAGTAGTCCAGATTAAAAATAAAACAAACTTAGTATTCACGAATGTATTTTAATACACAAATGCATAATTAAATGGTATGCACATTATAAAATGAGAATACATGCCTTACGGCCGCGGTAATATTTTGGCAGAACATTAGTTTTCATGTGAGTGGCTTTTTTTACCGCGCTTTCACCAAAATTTAAACATGTCTTTCGACAAATACTTTAGTGGAAAAACTTATTGATATTTTCGCATATAAATATCATGTTTTTTATATGTTTCTGTTGAGAATGTAATATGAATTAAATAACATACAATATGTATTTTGGTGGAAACGCGGTGTAACATATTACAGTTAAATAGAAATTACGTAACAATATCCTTCACATTCTTACATCGAAATTTACAGCCTATAAATAAAAATAGTGACATTAGTTTTGTCACTTTTTGCCAGATTTTTTTATGCCGCCTTGAGTCATTGGTCCCTTTTGAGAGGCCTTTGCTTTCGCTTCCTGTAAAAAGAAAAAAATATATATAATTTATTTTATTTATTTATTTTGTTATAAATTTTAATTCAAATAAGTTAACGGTCTACTTGCAACATGAACAGCGCTACATGCATACGAAAGTATATAGGGTACTTAAATATATCTTATATATAAAATTCTCGTGTCACAGTTTTCGTTCCCATACTCCTTTGAAACGGTTTGACCGATTCTCATGAAATTACATCTATTTTTCATCCCCCTAAATTTTAGGGGTAGTCCACCCCTAAATGTATTTTTTTATTTTAAGGCAAAACAACGTTAGCTAGTATATATATATTAATTGTTTGTCTGTCTGTTCTTGCTAATGCTCTGTAACGGCTGAACGAATTTTCTCGGGACATTCACTCGTAAATTGCAAATATTATTATAAGTAACTTCCTTAGATAATTCTAATAATACTTGCTTTATTTTAAAAATCTTATTAATTTCAATAAAAAAATGGGTTAAATTAGTTTGTTTTTAAACTTTCTTGTGTACATTATTTATATATTGTCAACCGGGTTTTAACACGAATAATTTTATGGCAAATAAAGGTATTTACTTCTCCCAACGTTTACGACTAGGTTGCACTAGCCGTGGTCACGTGTTGACTCACCGTTGATAATTTAATATACATAATGTATATTTATTTCTATATAAAAAAAACAAACCTGTAATGCCTTCTGTTGTTCTTTTAATTTCTGTTTTAGCGCTAGGTCGTCATCGTCCAATTCCCTTGACTCCTTCTTTGGCGCCTTCAGTGGTTTTTTCTTGCCTCCTTCGCGGCCCGACATCTGCATATTAAAAACATTCATTTATTTATTTTATAGGATTTGAAGAGCCATGTGAATAAAATGGATGAAAAGTGTTATATGATGTTTATATGATATGATCTATCTGTGTACCAAATCTCATTTGAATCAGTCCAGGTCCCGTTATGTTGCGTAATTCAATCACATAAAAATCATCTATACTCACAAAATGTCGTTCTTATATAATATATAAAAATGAGAAATTTATTGTAATCTATTATAGTACTAATATTATCTCCATTAATATGAAAGGAAACAGTTTTTAATTTTTTTATTACATATTAAAGGAAATTTATATTAAATCTATTTGCTTGGGATATACTAATATAAAATAACATACATATAAGTAATATAAATATGAAATAAAATTTAGAACTGACTCTAAATTATTGTAACTGTTAAAAAAGAAGTTACTAGTTAATTTATTTTTTATAACCACTTCTTTAAGCGTTTTTTGATGATAGAAACTCAAATAGAAAATAAAATCATTAGCACAAAAAAGTAATACAATTTTAAGGAAGTAACTTTTTTACCTTATGATTATCTGGCATAGGCATTTTATTTAAAACACTTTATAAAATAAATACTCTAAATCAAACTTTAGACTCAGTTGAAAGGCAACAAAACACTGAAAATAAATTTGTGCCTTGCTTATTGTTAACTTATTACCTACATCTACAATATATTAAGTCATACTGAAGAATATATTTGGTTTTTGAAAAGAAGTAAATTACCAGTTTTAAAACAGAGCTGATTGACAAATTAGTGAGTTTGAAGGTAAACAAATAATGTGCATAAACCAAGGTCATATTGCACAATATTGCTACAGATAACAAGGAATATATACAGATTGTAAGTTTGAGCACTGGTATAAATGTAAATTGGACTTTATTTTCTGCATTTAGTCTCTCATCTGGGCTGTTGTGTGTAGAGCCGAGACTACTAAAGTAGCCAGCCAAGCTCCTCCCAGAAGCCGAAGCCTCCTGGTATCTTCACAGGCTTCAGCATCCTCATCACTCTGAGGATTTGTTTATTGTGTGGTAACTGCTAGTCAATCCAGGAAATAAAACCTTTCAAAATGAGCACTAGCTGAAAAGTTTACACTCTGTATTTATGTAACCCTAGTGATATTAACAGTTTGTGTATGACTTCCTTGTTAACATATTCCACAATAGATAGTAGTTAAATAAAATATATAAAAATAGCTCAGAGTGTAAACTTTTTGAGCACTGGCTCAAAAAGTTTACACTCTGTATATATAATCCTGTGTCATTACTGTATCATTAAGGCACTGAATAGAATATTATAGATCATCAGGTGAGCCATCAGCTTATTCACTGTAGTTATAAAAACCAATGATCATGTGATGAACATTGTTTAGGAATCATCAAGTGACATCAGCTGCATTTGTGACTAATTGTTGGTGAATGGCTGCAGGGAAAGGGGCATCCGGAGGGGCAGGGGGAGGGTGGTTAATAGATAATAATTGAATAGTGTACTGCACTAACAGTATATGCTGACGGAACACCATTGAAATATGGTTTGTGGTGGATAAGATCAAGTAATTTAGGCATTAAGGTGAATTCGTCAGAAAGTAACTATTATGGTGCTAGTGAGACCGAGTGAAAGTCTATCAGATAGGACATTATTTAATCTATTTATTCTTACATTGACATAATTATGAAGTAGTATTTGTGCCTTTGTTATATTTCAGTATAAAAATTCAATACAAAATATGTGTTAGTCTGAGGCATAAGCTGTAAAGTTTCATCCAAATCCGTACAGTAGTTTTTACATGAAAGCACACTACCCTACCTTACCCTACTGTAGCCTAGTGATAAAAAATATGATGTGCACAAGAGACTGATGCGATGTGAATTGATTTTGAGTTTGAAATTGAATCCTTCTGTAGGAGTGAAGGATAGAATTGTTAGTGTTAACAATTGGTGGCCTTAACAATGTACTCATGTTAGGTTGATCTCAAAGAGTTCCCCTCGGAAATCATCATAATAAATTTTTGGTCACATTGACCGCAGTGGGCTAGCTGACCTAACTTTGTCACCATTCTAACATCGCACTATACAATATTCATCTATATAAAGCAATCAATACTACTAATATGTTCTTTTGACAAACAGTTGTTATTTTAGTCAGGTAGATCAGATTATTTACTATTTCACACAGATTTCCAACTGTAGTATAAATAGAACTTTCATACATTTTCTGAGATAGAATCTACAAGTCATTCACAGGTTTACAACTGTAGCAAGAGGTTTCACACATTTTCTCAAGGTAGATATTATAAAGTCTACATGAGTTTGTCAGTCTCAGCTATTTCAATAGCCAAGCAGCTTGCTTAGCAGCTTCGGTTGTAGGCTGAGATGTCAATTAAATTTGTCGTCATTGATTTTTTATTCTAATAATTTACCGATTAAGTTTATAATTGAATAACAGAGATGGTGGACTCACTGCCCCTTGAGTTGTAGACAATTTTGTCTCAATTAATACTCTACTCTTAATTATATTATAAGCAGTAATTGCATTAGTTTACTATTTGAGACAAATAAAGATTATTATTATTTTTAAATAATGGGCTAAGAGGCATGACATGAGTCCTCTGGAACGACAATGCATGAGTGGTCATCACGGTCGTCTCATGATAAGACAATAGGACGACAGTTACCACTTACAAATAGGTGGGTCATAAGTTTGTTTGCTATTCTAGGCATGCAACAAACAACTACCACACTTCTAGAAATGTTCGTATTATAAAAATTGTAAGTATGTAAGGTTCAAGTTATTGTATATATTACAATAAATATGCAAACAAATACAACAAAATGATGTTGCACTCGGCTTTAAACGGTAAATAAAACTTATAAGTGTACCGCTCTGAACGAGTGCTTTAAAAACATTTATGTTATTGTTAGGTTATCTAGTAAGCAATTTTTTTAAATTACCACAGTATTGAAATGTTAATTATGTCACTTAACAAGATCATGTGATTTGATACAAAATAATTATATAGTTTAATTATACTCACGTTTTATGTCCAATGAATTAAAAGGAATAGCAATTTATAGTAATTCAATTGAAAATTATTTTAATGCAAAGATTTTTTAAAATGATGATGACACAGACATTGGTCGGTGTTGCCAACAAGTGTTAGTTAATGTCAACTATACACATAGATCACTTTTACTAAAAAGATGTGAGTGATGGAATTAGTATTATTTATTATTGTTTGTATAATTTTTAGCGTTTTATAGTTATTAGGATGATTTTATGAAGGAAAACAGTACACTAATTGTACTATTATTGTAATAATCGACATTGATACACACTTATTCTGTATCTGTAATCATTAAAGAAGTAAGATCTGTAAGATTAAAATATTACATTCTTATATTAGGTCGTGAATACATGACTGTTTTGTAATCTTTTCATGTACAAATTAATATTCATATATCAACATTCCGAATGCCTTTATTGAATGACAAACATTGTTAGAAGAAAAATACAAGAAATCAGATAAATTGACACGAAATGAAACAATATCCTCACATAAGAAAAGTAATTTTAATATGAAGTTACTATTTGTTTAATTATGAAAATATTTATTAAAAATTGAAAGGATAAAATTGTAAAAAAAAGGAATTGATTCGAGGCTTTCCTATTTCTTAGATTATTCGCATCTCTTTTGACATTCCTCCAGAGTTTCGAAGTTATTTTCGTTTCGATTACAGCCTGTATAAATAAATTCTTCACATTTCTTAGTTGTTACATTATACCCATATCTGAAAAAAAATGTGTATATATATTTAGTAGTAGGAAGGCGGGGTAATTACGAACCCCTAGGGGAGGAATAAATTTATACGTTAACTTTAATAGCTTCTTCTGAAAGGTAAATTATCATATTTTAAACTACTGTAAACAAGAATGCTTAAGTGTCTATATCTATCCGACGCTGGTTGAGAATGACGGATTTTCTTTTAAGAGGCAATTACAATCGTTCGAAAATAAAATAAACTGAAAATAAACAGGCCTAAAAAGGCGATACTAAAATTAGGTGCAATATCGGATCAAGGGGGGTTCTAGATCGCTGCGTGGATAGCGAAATAGGGGATCGATTTGTCATTGGTTGCCTGTCGTGATGATTTTAACCCCACCACAATCTTATCGCTTGATTGTCATCATTTTATCAGACGGATATTTAATTGAGGTAGGTAAGACTTATAAAAAGTTGTCTACATGGATTCCTCAGTCTTTCCTATTTCAGTCGCCAAGCATAATATCATGCTTGGCGACTTCATTCCTCTGGCATTCAATGCATGAGTTCTATCACGGTCGTCACATGATAACATGATGTCCGTCATGCTGTTCATATGAGTAGACGATGGTCATCCTTATTATGGACGTTGTAGATGTAGCTTATTAGCAGCTATTTAAATTGCTTCATAAATGAACAAAAAACTAATAAATAACTAACCTTGGCATGTAACCGAAACAGAGTCCTGATCTCAACTCCAATGAGCATATATCTTCTGCAGACACTGTGAACATACAGGTAAATGCAAAGATTCAAATTAATCAATTATACAGCCCATTTGACGGTAAACAGTTTCCGTAATATATGTACGCCTTTGTTTACGTCTGACACCTTTTATTAGCAATAATATGCAATACTAATATTTGCTAAAAGGATATTTTAGGCGCTTGTCGATTTATAATCTATGTCAATATTATTTTTAATTCTTCTTACTATAATGGTATCTGGTGGTATACTAATAATGTCACTTCCATTGACACCGATTTATGGAATTATTATTTTAAATCACTTGAATGATTAAAAAGCCTATGTTGTATAGTTTCATCTTTAAAGAAAATCTCAGCAGGGTATATTCATCCATTAAAAAAAAGTAGGTTATAGTTTACTAAAAAGCTAAAAGTTCTTACCAGTGACGCAGTAAATAGATACAGCTAGAAGAAAGAAACAGATTACTCTCCCCATTTTGATTAAACACGACTACTCTTTAGAAAGTCAGAAAAAGTATTATGAATAAATATGGCTGTAAAATTAAACATAAATGCAGTACCTTGTTGTATTTGTACGTTACTAAATAAACCTACTACTAGTTACCAAATAAACCAATTTGTACTCGTTGCAACGGTATCGTTACATTATTAATTTTTTTAAATACTGAGGTAGATATACTGATAACAATCATTTTTAGGCCGAAATTATTCACTATTTAAAACTATAAAAACTGTCCAAGGAAAAATAAGGCAATAAGGATCATAATAAATACACTATCGCTAGGAAGGACGGGAATTGTGACAGTTTGCCCATCCCGCGGTACCCCTTGGAAATCATGATGATAAATTCATGGTGAATTATCCTGTGAAATAATCTTATCATTCTCCACTGGTGCCTCATCAAAGATGTAGAAGCTGCAATGATGCAGCTTCTACATCTTATCGTATTTATTTATATATTTATTATTCGTATTTTATTATCGTTCTTATAAAAAGAACACATCCAGTTACATTTATTACGTTACTCTAGTAACTTATAACTCCAAGAATATCGATGTACCGATACGGTACTTCGTTACAGGTGAACTTTATACTCTGTTCGTACTATTTGTTACAGATCTATTAATAAATACTAATAACTCTTGATAAATTATATTGTTGTTATGTTGGAACATTATTGCTTATCAAGACTTATATTTTTATACATATACTCATATAAAATCTCTGTTCGTTATGTTGTTTGTTGAACGCGCTAATCTCAGGAACTACTGGTTCAATTGAAAAATTAATTTACTGTTGGATAGCCCATTTATCGAGGAAGGTTATAGGCTATACATATAATATTACGCTAAGATCAATAGAGTGGAGCAGCAATTAATAATAATATTATAAACGCGATAGTTTGTAAGTATGAATGTTTGTTTCACTTTCAAGCAAAAACTACTAAACGGATTTTGATGAAGCTTTGTAGCAATATAGCTTATACACATATAGGTATGTAGGTTATATCTTTTATTGAAATTTAACGCGGGTAAAACCGCGGGCACAGCTGATATGAGTAATAAATTTGCATTTGATTTATTGAGCTTTCTTCTTGTTTAAGTACTGATAACAATATTCTGCTAAGGAGAGGTGGTTAGTAATGGGGACCAATGACTCCATTGCTAGCAATGTATCAGGTCCTGGAAAACATCGTTGTTTCCATCATTATGATGAAGAAATCGGTCTGATATCATGTTCACTCAATCATCCTCCGCTGGTGCCCCGCTAGCATATACGATATGCGGAGTTTTATCTCATTCTGCAAATTTTAATCCAAATCGATTTATTATTTTAATTCCAATACAACAAAACATGTGGAATTTCTTATGCATTTACAAGCTTAAGGAAAATTGATACGTTTTCTCATAATAATGACAATACACATATACTTATATACGTACCTACTGTTTGTTTTGTAATAATGTAGGTGTAAATATTATATAATATTGAGATATATTCATGACTGATATACCAGATGGGATAGTTAGATGTGTCCATTCATTCATAATTTAAGAGCCATGCTCTTGTTGGTGGAGCTCTTGCCACTTTCCACGACCTTCCATTATGTTATTTAAATGTTGATACAACACGACTCCCATTTTGTCTTTATTTAGCTTGATGTAGCTATGTCTTGGTCTTCCCCTTCCCCTCTTTCCTTCTATTACATATGTTGTGGTTTTCAGAGGTGTTCTGTTTATATCTACAATACATATATATACGATACGTCTATACTCCATAGCTTGACATATATTAATAAATAACAAGAAATAACCCTGGACAATTCACACAGAGCAATCTAGACCCAAGTTAAGCTAGCTAAAGCTTGTATTATGGGCATTAGATAACTGATACAAATACATACATATTTTTTTCGTAAATACTTATATATTATACATAGAAAACACCGATAGAGACAATCATACTCATGAATACAAATGTTTCTGCCGTGCGAGAAATCAAACTCGCGATGATCTGAAGAAATGCAGTGTTCTTTACCGCTAGATCACCGAGGCCGTCTCATATGTACATGGCGTATTTGCATTGACCTTTTTTGTATTGCTACAGATCACTCATAATAACACAATTTTATAAATCGAATGTCGTATTATGTATTGTCTATTATGAACATGTTGTGTGTGATTAGTAACAAACAAATAAACGATATATCTATCTATCTACCTGAGAACTTGTTTTTTAATATTTACAAAGTTGTAGTTACTGTGACGATTAAGGAAAAGCCAAGTAAAAAATGTGTATGGAGACGTTGATGACACTTTACAGTTTGTTACACCGCAGCTGCGCAGGCGCAGGTACCCACTATATAAATATTGTGGATGTGTGAATTAACTCCTCAGTTTCGAGTTGATTATCAGTGTAACACCATGAATATATTTGTGATACTGTTCTGTTTAATTTCCCTATTCCACTTGGATTATGGACAACAAGGTATTTTATTTGTTACCTTTTTATTCGTTCTGGATAGATCCCAGGTAGGGGCTGCAATAATTTGCAGATTTTACCAAGCAAAAGAGGAAACGCCAGTACTATGTGATTGTATCCCACTCATTCATAAACGAAACATCTTCTTTGGAAAGTACACACTATGTCCTGAGGAGATTAAGACCATGGTTCGAAAGAATATCCTTCAATTCTTGTCCCTGACGGGTTTAGGTAGTGAACTTTGAAATAAGGACGATCACAATAAATCTATGAAGGTCTTAGGAACAATTGACTATGGTCTTGTTGACATAATATCTTGCACAAAACCCTCAACAAAAAAAATCTGTCAGGAGTTGGACTTCAAGTGCTTCACAAATTTTTGCGGGGTTGGAGTACGCTCTATATTATTAGGCACATTGATTTTAGAATAAAAACTATAATCCATCACATTTAAAATGAGTGGTCATGTTGTGTGTGTGTTCATAACAGTTATGTGTAACGTGCAAGTGTGGTGAAAACCAGATTAAATTATATTTGCTGCTATATATATCCATTGAACATCTCCATTATATACTCACCCCTATTTTTGTCTGTTGAAGCTGTAAAGTCCAGCTATAACTAACAGTACCTAATGATATCCAGTCAATAGTCCACTAAGTCTTAGATTTCCCAATCACTCCACTTCCTTCTATTCAAAATCATTTTCTGTCCAGGCTGTTAGGTTGTAAGTCCAGCTCCTATTCGGCGCGCTCAATCTCTTGCTAGCTTTAAAGCATCAGTAAAAACTCTTTTCCTTTCCCTTTAGTTCTACTTTTCCTTTTTCTTATAAAAATGATATATGTATTATTAAATTTATGTATGTTTATGTAGGTATGTACAATGTTTATATATATTTATGTATAAGTATTATTTATATAGTTGTGTTGTCATAATATCTTTTTCTTAAATTTTCAGTCTAACTAAATTCACACATTTTCTGTAACTGATCCAAAAAAGTGTAAAAATAAAAAAAATCAAAATAAGTCAGTAGGCAGAAAAAATATGATGATGATGATGCCGATAATGTTTATAATATAATAAGAAATAATATCTCAAGACAATTCACACAGCGCCTTCTAGTCCCAAGATAAGCAGAACTTGTTTTATGGGTACTAAACAAGTTATAGAAATATATAGATACATTTTTTCTTAGTAAAAATATACAAAGAAAATATCTGGACGGATATTATAATTATTTTTATTTTGTTTCAGTAACCAAAGATTGTAATGCGCCTATAGACGCGCAAATCTGTTTTGGAATCACCGGATAGTAAGTACAGCCACGAATTGGTTTTAAATACTGTTTGAAATACATATATAAGTATATATAATTACTCGATTCAGAATAAATAAATAAATATTTATATATATATATATATATAGCTGTGCCCGCGGTACAAATGTAGCCTATATGTTATTCTGATGCATAAGCTGTTAGTTACTGTAAAGTTTCATCAAAATCCGTTAGTAGTTTTTGTGTGAAAGAGTAACAAACTTTTGCGTTTATAATATTATTAAGATATTAAGATTAAGATTTAACTATATTATTACACCATCAAAAGTTGTCTGGAAAAGATCGCCTGAGCAACTTATCGCTTTTAACCGGCTAAGCCGGTCCTAACTGGCTTTTGACACTACATTATCCTGTTAAGTATATTTTTTGTACTACATGTGTAGTGCAATAGAGTTAATAAATACATATATCATAACTTTTTTTAATGCATGATAATATAATGGTGTACCTACCCGCCTGCGTTAAGAGCTTAGTTTCACGTTGGGGTGACACCAGTGGAAGCTAATAAGATGAACATGAGGTCAGGTTAGTTAGCCCAGGTTAGAATTAGCTATATGTATAGTAAAAGTACCTACATAAGTGGAATAAAAATATTTAATCATTTGCCTGATTGCATCAAATCACTGGATGCTGGACAATTTAAAAGAACCTTAAAACAATGGTTATTGTGTAAGTGCTTTTACAACTTAGATGAATATTACCTTGGTGGAGGGGAGTGACAAATTGTTTGATCTAAGTTGTGTTGTAGATAGTTATTTTATATATTTTTTTTGTTTTTGTAATATGGTTATTTGATGTAATTGTATATTCTAATTTCATATTGTACGTCCGAAACTGGTGTAAACTGGTCGTTTCCATATATGATGTAAAAATGCTTATCTTATCTTATTTTATCCCATTGTGGTAAATTCACCAGGAATTTATATCAATCTGATGGTACATTGTTGTATTCGGTAATTCATATTACTAACAGTCCTCTTTTCCCCCATATCATTTATTTTTCAATGGATGATAATGGAATGACGATGCTAACGATTTACGCTTACGGGGCACCAGCGGAGGTTGTTCCAATCGTGATAAATTATTCCTCACATGATTGTTATCATTGAGGTTATTATTCTAGAAATGTGGGTATTACATGTGTAATAAATACGAAAATTGAAAAATAAATATTCCGAAAAGGCTCAGTCAATAATTGTTATTTACCTACGTTTCAACAAGTTTTGAACTAATTATTTTCTTACCACAGTGATGTAATCAATACATTTGATGGTAAACAGTTAAGGTGGATATATATTAGTATGATGTGTCGTGACATGACGCGTCAGAACGTATCGACATTAAGTATAGTAAAGTTCATACTAGTAATGCGTAATGTGTTAGATGGTTTCTGTTGTGCCTCAACAGAAACGATCCCGGTTGTCTATGGTACAGTTAGAAACTGATTCTTACTTATATTTCAGCTATGCCTACGATGTCACCATTAATAAGTGTATACCACTGAAATTCGCAGGGTGTTACGATGCCCCCAACGAGTTTCAAAGCAAGGAAGAATGTGAAAAAACCTGTGTACGAAAACAACAAATCAAAAATGAAATATTTTAAAACGCAATTTCTTAGGAGACTATTTATGTAATGTCATATATTTCATATAATTAAATGATTTTGTGATCTAATTTCTGTAGTATATTTTTAAATAATATTAACATAATTCTACAATGTAACTAAGGTAGACTCTGTATAAAGTCCCCTACGTGGATACCTCAGTGTTTTTTTATTTCTGCTGCCAAGTATTCTTCTTTGAAAGCACGCCTCCGATCAATCAAACGGGGATCGAAATTACAACGGCCTGAGCCGAGGTTTGGAACCCTAGCGATGTCCTCAGACTAAATTTGTATCCGTCAGGCGGGAGATGATAACCAACCGCTCCATAAGTCCTTCCTTTGGTTTGGAGTGCCATCTGCATTCGTCTATCGTCCGGTGAAGCTGTAAAGGCCGGATGCGGCTAACAGTATTAGAAAAAAACAGCTCAAAAAAATAGCCTCGAAAGCTGTGTTGCGCTTTAAGGGTTAAATTACGGGATTACAGTCAAATTACAGGATATGAAGCATTACATTTTAGTCTTGTAATGGCAACTCATGAGCGACGACGGTTATAGCTTACTATTAGATGGATCGAAATAAACTTCTGGTTTTATAAGTAGTAAATATCCATTTAGTTATTACTACTAAGTATTTCATTAAAGCTCTATGTTCAAAATCTACCCTGTATCATCGTAAGCACAGATATTATATTATATTAGAGTCTGTTAGTTTTCTGTTCCCGCGCGTTCCTTTCCCCTCCCTAACTAGTAACAAACGGACCGTACAGCGGCCTTGACGCGCGCGCGCATTGTGTTGTGAATTAAAATAAATTAGAACTGTGTTAAACCTACTGTGAAACTGGAAAGCTAGCGAAGATACCTTCGAGACCCTGAAGCCCAAGAAATCCGCAGAACCGCTTCCTTATTTTTCCCTATATATATACAGAGAGTAAATTCCCTAACACTCTAATTTGAAATTAGATACGAAAATGAATAAAAAAACCTATTATTATTGGTGTATTTTTTGTAGTTTTTACTGATATTTAATTGATACAAAATATAAATATAAATTTTCTGTGTGGTCCCGGCACTGATGACGGGAATCTGCCATGGCAGCGCCGATACAGCACCCCCTTCGCTACCTAGGCTATGGTAACCGTTTACTATCTGTTAGCTAGTAAACGGTTACCGTAGCCTATGGACCCCTGAAACACCAGGGATGTGATGTGTGGGTTGCGGACCTTTCAAAAACCTTCTTGAAAACTGCTAATTGTGAAGTGGAATTGAGAGGGGGAAAAGGGGATTGTTAGTAATGTGGACTGATGATTTCATTGCTAGCAATATATAATAGTATGTCAGGTTGACCACATGCTCATCTTATTATGCTCCACTGGTACTCCGACAGCGTAAATCGTTAGCGCAGGAGGGTGCACCATTCCATTATCTTAATCCTAATATATATAATATTATAAAAGTTTGTGAGTATGGATGTTTATTATGCAAAAACTACTGAACGGATTTTGATGAAACTTTACAGTAATATAGCTTATGCATCAGAATAATACACAGGCTATATTTTTAATTGAAATTTAACGCGGGATACAACGGGCACAGAGTATTTATAAAAATAAATAGAAAAAGTGGAATTGAGAAGTTCCGCCCTCTTTGAAGTCGGTTGAAAACGCTTGTTCCGCGTGAAGATAAACATAGATAAGTACGTGCAGATGAGAATATTGCGAATCGCTTTGTTCATTTGACAGATTTATAGTGACGTCACACTGTTATATTTGATAAAAATGTGTGTTTGATTATATTATTACACAGTCGTGACCGGGTCATATGTGTGACAAGATGAAATTGACAGTGATTTTGATTGTCTTGGTTACTCTACTCGATTTGAGTCGGGAAGAGGAAATTAAAGGTACATGTATATATATATTTTTTTTTCAATACATTTGCTCGTAAAGTCGATCTAATTTCATTAGTTTTAGCAGCCTATCAAACACGGGTGCCTTATAAATGGGAATAGTGAAGCTATCCTTACTAATTAGTTATCTGTGCTAATATTAAAAATGCGAAATAACTCTGTCTGTTTCGCTTTCACACCAAAACTACTGAGCCGATTTAAATGAAGTTTGGTACATATAGTCTAGACCCTGAGAAAGGATATAGGCTACTATTTAATGCGAAAGAAGGGTTGTTAGGTTGAATGGGGGAGATACAAGGTTGTCTTTTGTGGTTGTATACATACTTGTATACTTGTAAACTTGTAACACGTTGTCATGCAATTTAGTTTTGTATCACGTATGCGAATCTGCGTGACAACTGATTATTGTTGTCGATTATATTGTCTCATTAAAAATTAAAATACATAAATGTTTGCTCTGCAATTTTATTTAAGAAATCTATACACATAAATAAAATTAGAGTGTTTATTTGTAATTTTGAAATAACCGTTTTTTACTACATGCATATGAATATATGTAAATACGGTACAGACACCAAAATAACATTTTTTACAAGTTTTGTCTGTCTGTCTGTTTGTGTTGTGCGTGTTCTGGCTAATCTCTCTAATAGAAATGGCTGGATCGATTTTGACGGGACTTTTTTAGCAGGTACCTGATGTAATAAGAAAGAATTTTTTTAGAAAATAAAGTTAAATTCTACTCCTACGAAGTCGCGGTGTACATCTTACTAGATTATGTACTCATAAATATAATGAGAGGTTGTGTGGTTGTTGTATTAATTGGTCAATGTCACTATTTTACGGCGGCGAGTACAGCTAGTATTCCATATAATGATCAGAGCAGACCAGTCCCTAATAATAAGTTTAAAAGATGTTATTCATATGTTATGTTACAGGTCCTTGTGATCTTCCGATTCTGAGCGGCATGTGTTTCGGATATAGAGAAGTGTAAGTATAGATACCTAATATTTATTATTTTATATATTTTATGGATGATAATAGAATGGTGCACCCGCCTGCACTAACGGTTTACGCTGGCGGGGCACCAGTGGATGATGATAAGATGCGCATGAGGTTAGGTCAGTTAGCCCTTCTTGATAAATTCACCATGAATTTATCACGATTGTTTCCAGGGGGACCTCGTGGAGGTCAACGTGACATGGTACATTGCTAACAATTATATGTCATGTACAACTTTCCACATCCCGCTCTTTTTAGAGATAAAATAGAAGAAAAAAGTTTGATGGCACATTGGTCTAGCGGAGTCACCGCTTTACTTTATGGTCGCGGGTTCTATTCCTCTCTCAGTACAAACATTTGTATTCATGAGTAGATATGATTGTTTGTTTTGGTCTGGGTGTTCTCTATGTATATTATGAATATATTTTTACAAAAATGTTTTTATATCAGTTGCCTAGTGCCCACAACACAAGCTTTGATTAGCTTGGGACTAGATGGCGCTATGTGAACTATGTAGAACTATTATTATTATTATTAGTCGGTAATATTCATTTCTTTTATAGGTATGGCTACAATGTTACAAGAAACAAATGCGCTAAATTTATATATGGAGGATGTATGGGAAATGATAACCGGTTTGACTCCATTCAAGAATGCGAGAGTAGTTGTTTGAAGAAAGAAATAGAAGAAGACAAGGATGATTAAAGATGTAACATTACAGACAGGAAATTATGATATTTGTATTGTATTCTGACAATTATTAATTTTACCTATTAGTATTTAATATTATTTAATAAATTCTGCTTACAACACAAATGTAATGGTTCTAAATAATATACTTTATATATATTTGTTTTCTTGGGGAAATTCGTAATGGAGACCCGCCCGCTTCAGGGATACTGCCGGACTCCTACCGGCTAAAACACCAAGGTGTACCTCTACCCACCGGACGCCACTCGCGCGCTCCCGCGCCCTACACTCCATAGAGTGATCACGTCACTTACGTGACGTGGTGGCCGGCTCGGCGAGCAACATTTGATTCCCGCCACATAACGCCCAAAGCTGGCTGCTTCCCAGCAGCCAGTCGTTAGTAAACGAATGACGCTGGGGTGATACATCCCAGCAGCACGCCCGGGCAAAGAGCGCAGCTCGAGGCCCGCACCCTGCAGTCCGTAGGGACTAGCGGACGACCTAGTCACATCACGTGTCTACCGCTTATTGCCAGAGCTTCCGCAGCTCCAACGGCGGAGACCTGACAGACTCAGTATACGGGTCACTACACTTCTTCAGAAGAAGTAGCGTTGGTACACGCGCGCACCTTCTCAAGGCTGCGATGTCGACGGGGAAGCAGCCGCCCCCACGGCCGCCGCTCCTGGCCCTTGCGGAGGGAGGGGAACATCATCCCTCCTCCGTCCAGCTCGTCTCCGACGAATTGGGTCGCCGGAGGTAGCAATTTCGCGACCTCTCTCTGCCGCCTCCTTTTTGGCCATTACCGACTCGCAGTATGCGACGACATATATAATACCAATAGTACACCAACTTTTACTATACTTAAATAGGAAATACCTTAAAATAATAGGGACAATGACGTGCCACTGTATCTTAAACAAACGCCTGTACTACATATAATTTTTTATTATACATATAAGAATATTATTTTTTTATACTTTGTTAAGTATAAAGAGCAGATTAGTCCGCGTGACAAGCCGCTTGACATTCTTCCATAGTCTCGAAGTTGTTACCATTACCTCTGCAACCACCGTAGAGGAATTTCTTGCATGCATTCATTTGTTTGTCATAACCGTACCTGAAAATAGATTTCTTTTATTTATATCTATTAATTATTAGTAGGTTGTGTATTTAATATTTTGATTCTGATAGATTTTTTTTAAATAGACAAAGAACCATACGGTACATCGATGGTAAATGCTTACCGTAACTTGTGGTATTCAAATATTATAAAGTTAAAGTAACAACAATTATTTAAAAGAGATGTAACATGCAAGTTTCTCATTCTTCTTGTGATGAGACAGTTTTTCAAAAAAGTGGTGTGTTAAAAAAATCAGTATGACTATGTAATATTATGTTATCTGTGGTATCACTATGACAAAGTGCTTAAATTTAAGTTTATTTGAATATAGAATTTTCTATTCTGTTCTATTTAAAATTAGTTGAGAAACCTGAGCACCGCTACTACGAGTATGTAGAGGCGTTATGACCTTTCCTATTAGTGACTTACTGACCGTTATTGATATCTACACTTATATTGTGTATACATGTGTTATGTCTCTGAACAAGGCATAATAGAGCTCGGATATAGCTTGGAGGTACAGGCGACCAGCGACCAGTCTATCTATGCACGTTTCTAGTAGCTGTGGTCAAGTTTCCGCACTGACTATTTGTGGTCTCACACATGCTAACGGTAGCGGAATTAAACAAAATAATATAAATCCAAGTAATGAAATGAACTTCTGTAAAATAAATTGAAGGTAAAAGACAGACTGACTCGATTTCGGCCGAAATGTGATCACAATTATTTTAAATAAAAACTTTGTAAATTATTAAGGGTCAATGATAAAAGATTATACTTCTATGCGAGTATGTGTGTCAAACACATAACGTATAGGGTATTGTCTGTAATATTTTTTTACTGATTGAGTGTATTTTTTATGCACAATGTTAGAAAAATATAAGCATTCTGCACTCCTTTTCTAAAGAAATTATAAGTGTGCGAAATTTCATATTCCTTCGTCTCCGAAAGCGGAGTATTCAGTTTTTGCTTTATGTATTAATAATATTAATGTACATACCTTGTCATTCCGGCTTTACATACTTCTGTTACAAGTGGCAATTCACATCTATGATCTGAAACATTTGATCATATTCATGATAAATTATAATATTAGCACTTAATCGATTTACTGATATTTTTTATCGATAACTGACAATTGATAATCAATCTAATCTATTCTAAATAGAACACATATATATGTATATGAAGGTGACATATATAAATTACGTCACAAGTTAACTGTGACAGGGGTGGGAGGGTATAAATTTCATGACTCATTTCGAAAATTTAATAAAAATATATAAGAGAACTCGCTGTCACGCGACTTTGTCCGGGTGGAATAGTGACCTTGGATGAATGACAAATTCATTCAGAAATTTTTATTCCTTATTTTATTTTAAGGGTCAAAGTTTAACAAATATTTGAATATTATACTTATTCACATTTAATCAACAGAATAAAAAATAAATTTCAAGCATCTAGCTTAAAAAAAGACGATACTACCAACTTATAATCTATCCTTTCAACCATTTCTTCGAATTAAAAAGTAGCCTAGTCCTTTCTCAGGGTTTAGACTATTTGCGTACCAAATTTTATTTAAATCCGTTTAGTAGCTTTGGCGTAAAAACGAGACAGACAGACAGATAGAGTTACTTTCGCATTTATAATGTTAGTAATGATCAACACATAATATAATTCAATCATTCGATTTTAACCTGAAATGAAATTTTAATAAAATCATCTAATTCGTGTGATATGATATAATAAAGATATTGTCATATACTGGCCACCAGTCGCTAGTTCGAATATTTTATAATATGAAATATTTCTATTTGACATATGTCCATAATTTTCTATTCTAATAAATTAACTTATGTAAATACACGTATTTTATAAATTGGCGACGATGTCAACTATCGATATAAAAAAATTGAAGAAAACACGAGCCTCGCTACGGGGTTTACTTACAAAATTAGAAAATTATATAACCACTAACGAAACAATCCCTCAAGAAGAAATTCAGTCAAGACTTCAATCGCTTCAAGAAACATTACGAAAACTACAAGAAATTCAACATGATATCGAAACAGAATCACCAGAAGAACAACTTAATGAAGAAATAGAGAACAGATACGACTTTGAAGAGAAATGTACATTTTTAAAGACCAAACTTTTGATACTACAAAACAGAAATCACGTACCCACCGCAGCACCACAGCTATCCCCATCACCTTCGAGCACCAATTCACGTCTAGACAGAAATCCCAAAATGAATTTCCAACCATTTCAAGAAAAAGAAACTTTTAAAAATTTTACGAAAAGATTAACAGTATATTTTTTATTAAACAACATAGAAGACCCTAAAATGAAAGTATATATATTACTATCTGCCTTATCTCCTGAACTTCACGAAAAGTTACACGACCTATGCTCGCCTGAAGATCCGATTAACATGAACTTTATAGAACTTACTCGTATACTAGATGACCACATAGATCCAAAACCGAGTGTATGGGCATTACAACATAAATTTATTACCCGGGTACAAAAACAGGATGAAACAGTAGCAATGTACGCCTCCGAATTAAAGAAATTGTCCAATAACTGTGAATTTAAATGTCAAAGCTGCCATAAACCAACTTTAGAAAGCTTCATATCATTACAATTTATCCGAGGATTGAAGGACAGTGATATAAGAATAAGAATACTACAAGAGCGAGAAACACCACCTTTTACAAGATTGGTACAAATGGCTACATCCATGGAAATGGGAAAATCGGAAAACATACGAATGTCTACAGACGCACACCGATATTCTGACAGCCTCAATAGAATTACAAATATAACAAATAAAAACAATTTCCCTAATACACCACCATCTCAAATACAAAATCGAAGACTACCAATAACAATAAAAGAATTGAAAGGAAAATGCTACCGATGTGGAAAAAATGACCACCAGTCTAAAGAATGTGGTGCCTTAAAATCCGTTTGCATGAAGTGCAATAAAACAGGTCATTTAGCGCGTGTTTGCTTACAAAGAAATACAAATATGAATAAATTAGATGACACTACAAGTAATACGAGTGATGAAAACATGGGAGACATCAATCTCATGAAAAGTGAAATATCAGAAAAATACATGATCCCAATAAAAATTGAGAACAGACCAATCAGTATGGAGTTTGACACTGGAGCAACATTGTCATCAATATCCCTGAAACAATACAAGAAATTGAATATCGGAAACCGAATATTCAAAACTGATATGAAATTAAGAACATACACTGGAGAAATTATTAAACCCTCAGGAGTCACCTACGTCAAATATACATACAAAGATCAGACCTTTAATGGAAAACTATATATAATCAACCAAGATGTTGACGCAATTTTTGGGAGAAGCTGGATGAAAGAACTTACAATAAAATTATCAGATATCAATATAATACGAAATTCAGAACCATCTACGAATCTTGATCAATTATTAGAAGAATATACGAACACTGTATTTAGAACCGACTTAGGAAAAATACCAAATTACCAAGCTCATTTGAATCTCAAGGAAAACATACAACCTATATTTATTAAACCTCGTCGTATACCGTATGCTTTAAAGGAAAAAGTTGATGAAGAGATAGAGCGACTATGTTCAGAAGGAATCATTACTAAAGTGGACCATGCGGAATGGGGTACTCCAATCGTACCAATCGTAAAACCTAACGGCACTATCCGTTTGTGCGCAGACTACAAGGTAACCCTTAACAAATGTATCAAGGATGAACAATACCCAATCCCCATAATAGAAGACATATTCACAGAAATGAATGGAGGGAAATATTTCTGCACCTTAGATATCAAACAAGCCTATCTAAATTTAGAAATGGATGACGAAAGCGCACTTTTACAAACGTTAAGTACACACAAAGGCACTTATAAAGTGAATCGATTGATGTTCGGTGTTAAGGTAGCACCTAGCCTATGGCAAAAATTTATGGATCAATTACTTCAGGGACTAGATGGAGTCAAATGCTTCTTTGATGACATTATTATTCAAGGAACCTCAGAAGATCAACTCCTATCACGTCTGAAACAAGTTCTTCAGAAACTCAAAGAGAGTAACCTGCGCGTCAACAGAGAAAAATGTAACTTTTTTAAGCGAAGTATTAATTACCTAGGACATATAATAGATGAAGATGGACTACATAAAAATAAAGACAAAGTGAAAGCGATTATGAAAACAGAGAGACCGAAAAATGTAAATGAATTAAGAACCTTTCTAGGTATGGCAAATTATTATAACAAATTTATACCAAACTTGGCCTCAATAACAAATCCTCTAAATGAATTACTAAAGAAAGAAAAAGAATTTCAATGGTCCTCAAAATGTGAAACAAGCTTTAATAAAATTAAACAGGAGATATTGAGTGAAAGAGTTCTCATTCATTTCGATCCCAAAAAGCCATTGATAATAGCCACTGACGCATCTCCAACAGGATTAGGCGTTGTTCTATCTCATAAACTAAAGGATGGATCTGAAAGGCCTATCGCATTTGCTTCTAGATCACTTTCAACCAGCGAAAAGAAATATAGTCAAATCGATAAAGAAGCTACAGCCATCTTCTGGGGCATAAAGAAATTTTTTCACTACTGCTACGGTCGGAAATTCACACTGATAACCGACCACAAGCCTCTTACCTCAATCTTTCACCCACACCAAACACTACCAGCCTTAAGCACAATGAGACTATTCCATTACGCACATTTTCTATCAGGATTTGATTATGATGTAGAATACAGACCGGCATCAAAACATTCAAATGCTGATTATTTATCAAGATTTCCAGTGGAATATGTAAAAGAAAATTCTAAAGATCAACACTACACATTCCAACAACAACAAATCAATACGCTTGATGTCCGACCAGAACTTATAGCTAAAGAAACAAAGACAGATGAGGAACTTAAAATATTGTTGGAAGCACTAAAAACAGGTCACTCAGTACGCCAACACGGCTATAACGATAACGAACTTACACTTCAAGATAATTGCATTTTGAAAGGAACCCGAGTCGTAATACCGCACAGTCTACGTAGCCGTGTTCTCGACGAACTACACGCAGGACATGTTGGTATTCTTAAAATGAAATTATTAGCACGCAGTTACATATATTGGAAAAATATAGACACAGATATTGAAAACAAGGTAAAATCTTGCAGAGCATGTCGATTACAACAGAATGAACCACCGAAAGCACCGCTACACCATTGGGAACAACCTACAGAACCCTGGCAACGACTGCATATCGACTTTGCCGGACCTGTACATGGTTACCAACTTTTAGTTGTCGTAGATGCCTTCACAAAGTGGGTTGAAATCTACCCTACTAAAATTACTACAAGTTCGTGGTGTATTGCTAAACTGAAAGAACTGTTCACTACATATGGAATACCACATACATTAGCATCAGATAATGGACGACAATTTATATCTCAAGAATTTGAATATTACCTTTCGAACTGTGGTATAAAACACTCGAAATCAGCTCCCTACCATCCAGCGACTAACGGCCAAGCAGAGCGCTATATACAAACAATAAAAAGGGCGCTACGCGCAATGGAGGGGGAGAGGGGTGACCTTAACGATAAACTTCTGATCATTAAGACACGACTCAGACGTACACCAACCTCGAACGGTCGGACACCATATCAGCTTCTGTTCAATCGAGACGTCAGAACCAAGCTCCATGTTATGTTCCGCACCACACCAGCACTAGCAGTAGCTGAATCGAATAACAGACCACCTGTTAAACAAATATATACAAAAGGTGACCGGGTCCAAGCTAGAAACTACTCTGTATGCGGGCCAAAATGGGAATTTGGCAACATATTGAATAGACTGGGACGATTGCACTACGAAGTACAGACCGACCAGGGAGCTGTGTGGCGCAGGCACGTGGAGCAGCTACTACCGGCCCCAGGAATCCAGAAATAGAATAGAATACTGCAGAATAGCGGCGGAGGACTGTCATATACTGGCCACCAGTCGCTAGTTCGAATATTTTATAATATGAAATATTTCTATTTGACATATGTCCATAATTTTCTATTCTAATAAATTAACTTATGTAAATACACGTATTTTATAGATATTAATAATAATTTTACTTGGAATAGCTAAGTCTAGTTAAATGGCATGAATTGGCATGGGTCGTCGCGGAGCGCCTGTCAGTTAGCAAACAGCAATTTGGAGCAAAAACACTGGAAAGCGGGTTAGGATCTCTCCAGGCGTTTCCTACCGCGAACACTCATGTTGTGAAATGAATTTCCTGCTGAGGTTTTGCCTGAAGCGTACAGCATGAGTTCATTCAAAAAGAACAGGCAAATTATGAGTGGATTCGTACATTGAGGGTTTGGAACATATAATGTCATATGCTAAGTATAATACCTCAAAGAAATGAATAATAAATATTAAACAAATTTCATTTTTTTTATTTTAGATTAAATATGGTTTAAATTGTACTTTACAACAAAGATTGAAGAATTTTTGATGATTTTTAAAAACCTATTTCTTACTTTAAGAAACATATATAAGTTTCTACTTCGGACTAATTTGGAAAGTAAAGAAAGAAGTGGCCTTTTTATTAGGAAGTCAATTTTGAAATGCTATGATTAGGTAACCAAACTTTTACAAATTTAAGTTTGATAATGTTTGCAGTTTCTGAAATAGATGCAATAAGAGAATTGATGGTGCAAATACATTAACTGTATTATTAATAAGTAGTAAATTGGTGTATGAATGTATGTAAGTATGTTTCTACTCACCCAAAGCAACGCTTAGGTTGACACAAAATGTAACAAGTGCAAGAATTATGATGATTTTCGTCATTGTCCCCTCTTCACTGCTTGATCGACAAACAATGAATACCTTCAACAGAAACTAGTTCTATATAGGTGTATTATTAAATTAATTATCGTCTGATATAGAAACCATTAAAGCTAATTAAATTACATTTATTTCTATACTACAATAATAATTTGAGGTTTTAATGAATTTTAATGTTATTTAAATTACTTTTAAGAATACATCTCATCATCATCTGCTTCTTCCTTATCTCATTTATTTGTGGTCGGCGTTATATGTTTTTCTCTTCCATTCATCCCTGTTTGCAGTTATTTTATTATTTACTCCCTTTCTTACCATTCATCTTTCACACAGTCCATCCATCTCTTTTGCGGCCTTCCCTTACCCTTATAACCATCAACATTCATATATAAATATTACCTTCATTTCCACGCATTACATACCCATTAAAAATACTTTTATACATTCATTCTGTTGGTAACTCCAACAAAAATATGTATTAAAACCTTCTTAATTATTTATTTCATAATATTTAAATATAGAACGCTGTGTTCTAATAGTTACGATTGTCATTTGTTTTTTCTGTGCTTCAATATTTTGTTACACCGCTAAATATATCGACATTTTAATAAATATATATAATTACGATTTAATTTACGATTTGGTGTTTTATAATTATTTACAACGAATACATCCACGCAACTCGTTGAGATTCACACACATTCTATTCTATACATTCATCATCAGTTTACAGAACATAAATATTTAATATAGGTATATAAAATATTATCCAAATACAGTAAGTTTTTAATTTTTTTTTTATTTTAAAATAATTTTACTGATTGATATGTTTAACACATAGTACGACATATTAATTAGTAAAATTATTTAATAATTTACCAATTAATTACAAAACTATTTACAATTTTACACCGTTTAAAATTAAATTTAAAAATATTTTTATTGAATAAGTGTTACTATATTGTAGATGATTATTATAAATCGAACACATTTTGTGACCATGACTTTAGTAACAGATATTAAGTTACCTGTGGTAACAGCATCGAAAATCGAAATATCGGGAGCTCTTCAATAATATTCTTATAATCCCGTCAAAATCGGGCCAGCCATTTCAGAGATTAGTCGGAACAAACAGACCGACAGACAGACAAAAATTTTAAAAAGTGGTTTTTTGGTTGATGTACCGTATTTATATTCATATTGGATGGAGTAAAAAACGATTACTTCAATATTACAAACAGACACTCCAATTTTATTTATATGTATACATGTAAAATTAATATACTTAATTATTATTTTACTTAATACAGCTTTTGTGTGTCTGTGTGTTTATACACATTTACATTGTTTTCATTGTGTATTTTATGTTATATATGTACTTATGTGTGCTTATATATGATGTTAATATTGCACGATATGTTTAGAATTGGGACACTAGACTAATAAATAAGAGCGAGTGGAACTTATTGATAACCTTACCGTACATACGATCGACATCTTTAGTACTAGTAGTTTCCCAGGTTCGATTTCGGCTGGACCAATCTTGATCATGGAGTATTTTCAACCGACTTAGGAAAAGGAGATTCTTAATTCGCATGTATTTTTTATGTCAGTTATTTTAGAACTTTTTTCTTTGTATATACTGATTTTCATGATTTTTTTGATTTAAAAACTGATGCATTTAATGAGAAAATGTTAATTCAAAATTATAAAAGGATACTTCAGTTTTATTTGTTTATATACATACATCTGCATAATTTACACAACGCCATCGAGTCCCTCAGTAAGCAGAGCTTGTGTTATGGGTATTAGATATAAATACATAGATATATTTTTTATACACCCATACCAACAAAACATCATACTCATAAATATAAATGTTCGCGCCGTGCGAGGAATTGAACACGCGACCATCGGAGGTAAAGCGGTGTGTTATTCTGCTAGACCACCGAGGCCGCCTAATCTTACTAATATTACAGATAACATAATATTACATACTAATATTATAAACACGAAAGTTTGTGAGATTGGATGGATATAAGATAAGATTGTTATCCTCTCACGCAAAAACTACTGAACAGATTTTAATGAAACTTTACAGTAATATAGTTTATACAACAGAATAACACATAGACAATTTTACAAATTTACAAAGATATTATGTACATTAGGCGAAATATTATGTTGAATGTCAAATAAAAGTTATGCAGACAAAGTTACGCGGGTCAGCTAGTATAATATAATAATATTTATTTAAATTGAATAATGATTTATTTATTTGTAATATATAGTATTGCGAATCAATATTTCTTAACACTACATTGCAACAGATACAGAGTTTATATAAACTTGTGTTTGATCGAGAAGCACTTTAGTTTGAGAGATAACTATGGTGGGAACAATGCAGAAATTATTGTTAATATTTCTACTTGTATCATTTTCTGTTAATATTTTATCATTAGGTAAGTACATACTATTATCTATTATGCATTAATTTATAAAAAACTAAGATAATATTTATAAAGATTAAATAAGCTTGATTTCATAACTATTTAGAGTAATTATAATCTGTGGAAATAAATAAAATTTAAGTATCTGTTTGTTGTGTCTTACACCAAAAATTAATAATCTGTATATTAATACAGGAAGCAAAAACAATGTACTCCTTTTTATGAAATTTCGCACACTTATAGTTTATATAGAGGAGTATAACAGAACGCTAATATATGTTTTTTTTAATTCTGCGTATTCACTAATTACAATATTTTTAAATTAATTATGGTCATATTACGACCATTGGGCGACCACTAGTTAAAATCCAAAATTGGAAATTTTTCTGTCTGTCTGTTTGTTCTTGCTAATCTCTGAAACAGCTGGGCCGATTTGGAAACTTTCACTCGCAGATACCTAATGTCATAAGGAGTAACTTAGATTACTTTTATTTTAGATATGCTATTATATTAATTGTACGCAGACGAAGGCGCGGGTAATAGCTAGTCTATAAAAATATATACTTCTTTATATAATATAAAACAAAGTCACTGTCGTTGTCTGTAGACTTATATCTTTTAAGTTACGCAAGGATTTTAACGCAGTTTTCAGTAATAGAAAAGTGATTCAAGAGAAATTGGTCATTTACTGTCAGTCCGCCCGTAAGCTTGTTTACATAAAAGAAATGCTATTTAATTCCAGATCCTATATGTAAGCTGCCGTTGGAAACTGGAATTTGCAGAGCGGAATTTTACAGGCAAGTCATCTTTATATGTAAAAATGTGTCACGTTGTTGGCCAGCGATGGGCTCCTAAACTACTGAAACGATTGCAAATTTGATTTGCACATTGTGTGCAATTTGATCCAACTTGAAAGACAGGATAGCTTATATCTCAATTTATAGTCGCAATATTATTTTATTCAAGAACCTTAGCCACAGCAACGCGTGGCCGGGTCTGCTAGTAGATAATAATTCTTCAATGTATTTTTCTCCCCTAACTGTGATCTGTATTGCTTACGGTTTTTTTGTTGATGATAATGAAATGGTGCACCCGCCTGCGCTAACGGTTTACGCTGGCGTGGCACCAGTGGAGGATGATAAGATGAGGTCAGGTCAGTTAGCCCATCGTAACAAATTCACCAAGAATTTATCACGATGGTTTCCAGGGGGAACTGCGTGGAGGCCTACCTGACATGGTGCATTGCTAGCAATAAGATCATCAGTCCACATTACTACCAATACCCTTTCCTCCTATATTGCTTACGATTACTGCCTTCCACATTGCTATTGAGTAAAAACAATATATGTACTGGATATTGAGTTTACACCCATTCGGTGGTCTAGCGGTTTAGCACTTCGTCTTACTTCCAATGGCCGGGGGTTCGATTCCTCGCACAGCACAAACATTTGTATTCATGAGTATGTTTGTTTGTATCGGTCTGGGTGTTTATATATAATTATAATGTAGAAAACATTCTACTTTATAATTATACTATTATGTATCGATTACTGTGTATCTCGTAGGTACATTACATGTAACATGTAGGTACATTACGTGTAACATGTAGGTACCTAATATTCCCTTATTTGTTGTTATTGTTACACCGGTAACATAGTACCGTATAGTTACTGTAGTTATCTAGTTATTCTATAGTTCGGTATTATATAGTCTATAGTAATCTAGTTATTATATTATAGTTCTAATAATGTCTTTGTTGTTTCAGATTTGGTTATGATGCTAAATTGAAGGAATGTAGACAATTTTTGTATGGAGGATGTCGCGGTAATGAAAATAATTTCAAAACTTTTGAAGCCTGTCAAGCAGTTTGCCAGTAAACTGTACACATTAGTTTAGACCCTATGATTAACATACTATATGTACAGGACATACTACAGCACTATCTACACCCAAACCAAGCACACGAATAGTCAGACTCATGGAGAAAGCTTTTTCTTTTTTTATTGTTATTATTTTTAAATAACCCTGAACAATTAACACAGCGCAGATGCCACGGTAAGAAGAGCTTGTTATGGCTACTAGACAACTGATATAAATACATAGATATGTTTTTTGTAAATACATACATAATATACTTATAAAAAACTCAGATCGATACAAACAGTCATAATCAGGCCCAAGCCCCGGCATGTTTGGGGGACGGCAAATTCGAACTTGGCAGATGAACTCAAATTTATTACGCATTTTGACAATTTCACCATGTACAAACGGATGTCAATTAAATGCATTTGAAAATGAAGATATAACTCAAAAATGGTGGAGGGCAAGGGGGGAGGGGGAGCGGGGGACTGTTAGGGGGCGGCATTTTACAGTTTTTGCCCCGCCTCAAAAAAATGAAGATCTGGGGCTAGCCGTGAGCGTTGCTATTCAGTTATCTAAAACATGTGATACAGAAATATACGATTTGTATGTTCCGTTATTACGGTATTATTATACGAAAGAAGAGAAAGGATAAAATAAAAGGTTCCCAGAAATTTGTTTGTTTGATTTCAATATGAAAATATAAGACGCAATGTAAATTCATTTATTGTTAAAATCCAACGTGCTTCCCATGGAACCGAGTGGATTTTGCATCAATCGTTGTACATAAATATACACAGACTTGTCTATGGCATAACTTTTTAATTGTCTATTTTCAATATAATTGTCATTGATTCTTTAGTAGTGTAACGATGACAGTTCACGTACTTATATTAAATATATACCTAATCTAAAATAATTAATTTTTATTATTTATATTGTCTTATACATATAAAATAGTGTACACACAAAGTTGTGTTACAAACAGACTAATTATATAATATTATTATTTTGAATCTGTATTTAGTTTTGGCGGGAATGGTTATGACAACTGTCAGAGACTTGATGAGACTAACTGCGTGTGATGTTCTTTAGACTTCATAAGATGAATAATTAAAAAAACTAACAATATAGATGTAATAATATACAGCTATAATTGCTACCTCCTGGGACATCCTTTGTTTTTTGACATGTAGTCAAAATTCAACGTGCTTCCTATGGAACCGAGTGGATTTAGTTTGTATCAACCGTGGACCAACTATTTGTACACAAATATACACAGACTAATTATATAATATTATTATTTTGAATCTGTATTTAGTTTTGGCGGGAACGGCTATGACAACTGTCAGAGACTTGATGGGACTAACTGCGTGCGATGTTCTTTACACATCACGAGAAATAAAAAAATAAAATAAAAATATAAATGTAATATACAGTCATACCAGCTACACGATAATGAAAGACGAAAAAACATATATAGATATATATAATATACAGGCATACTTCCCGTGACTTCGTATGATTTTTTGAAATAAAAATGACCGTTCTTGTGAAACAATTTACATGTCTGCTCCCGAGCTGTTTAGTCGTAACAAACATTGTTTTCAAAAACAAATAAGTAATTCTATTACAGATTTCATTGTTTCAACAAATAAGTGTTCTTGTAAATGGCTATAATATTTGACTCTATTATTAATAATAATATCTCAGGACAATTTGTCTAATTTAAGTAGAGCTTGTGTTTATGGGTAGATAACTGATATAAATATATACATATATATTTAGTACATAATGTACATAGGAAAAACCAAGACTGATACAAACAATCTTACTCATGAATATAAATGTTTGTACTGTACCACGAAACGAACCCGCTTTCGAGGCCGTCAATATTATAATTGAAAATCGTTGCGTTCTCGTGTCGTGACGAATAAAAAGAACTAGAGGTGACATCTAAACTGAGTTTGGCGTTAAAATGATTTAGGTGTAGTAGACCATTCTCCGGAATTTATGAAAGTCCTTCCAAAAATAAACCGCCAGTGTAACTTGACCCTTTCTACTGTTCTCGTAATACGATACAGTGGGTCGTAAATTTTGGACGGTTCCTTCATGCATTTAAATCGTTTACGGAGGTCGTTACATTTCGTGGATGTATTTTAGTGGTTTATTTTAATAGATTCGGTTTATTTTAGTCACAATTAGTGAGTGAAATTTAAGATTTTAGAAGTAATTATTGAAAATTCGTGGAAGTTTGTTGAGTTAAACTTTGCAACTCATTTGTAATCATATTTATTGAGCAAAGAGTATTTATTCACTAAATGAATACTTAAATGACAGACGTGCACGGCAAGATTGAAAAAAGTAAAGGATGTTAATACACTGGCTTTTAAAAAAAGAAATTCAGTTGAGTTTCTGTCAGTTCTCAATGCAATCTGTGTACCTAGAGTATTAATATAAAAAACTTGTGGTTCATAAGCGGCTAAAATATTATACACGAATAAACGATTTTTGATTTGATTTGCTTTCATTTGATTTGATTTGATTTGATATGTACAAAGTTCTCTGTGTTAGTATTTCTGTCTTACCTATATATTTCAGCTGCCAGATGCTGTCGCTATATTACAATTTTTCAGCTGTATTCCTGTTAGTGAAATACTAAACTAAAAGTTTGTGTAGATGATGTCGCGGGTAAAATATATGTATAACAACAGAATGGAGAAGTCTAATTATTTTCATATCTCCATATATTTCTTTCAGTGTTGCCAACTTCAATATCTGATCGCACAATAATAAAAAATCATAACATAATATAAGTAAATGTTACCAACTCCAAAATTTGTAATATATTTTTTTGGAATAAACTCTTGGTTTGTACTTGATTATATATTTTCCTGTTTAAAATTAAGTGTCATATCGTAATAATATGTTGATGTAGTCTGTGATTGACACATTAATTAATTTTATTCTATAAAATATATCGAATATTATGAAATAGGCTCCCAGCAATTGTGGCTCAATATTTTACTCATTTATATTCATAATATACATAAATGTAACTACAACTTCGATCACGTGTAAAAATAATAAATTATTAATTTATTTACTCATATATAAAATATTATTTAGCGTGGATGGTATTTGTTCCACTAAGAATGCATATGGCAGTGTATAATACCACAGATAAGATAATATTACTTAATAATACTTTGTTATAAATTATACCATTATAGTACACCACACAAATAATGTAATATCACTTAGTAAGTAATTAATTTTGACTCCGTCTGGTTTAATTATAGAGTGTTTGTATTAATGATTTACAAACATTCTATAATACAACAAAATAAATATACAGCTCATGATACTTGTCGGCAATGTTGCTAAAAATACAAGAATTATAAAATCTGTTTTTAAAGTTAAAATATTTTTTTAATTTGACTAACCCAATAAAAATGAAAGTTGAATATTTTCACTTTATTCAATTGTATTTAGTTATTTTTTCATTGTGGCTACCGATTTTGTGTAACGGAACGCACGAAATGAGTTCGCGCCAAAATTTGACATATCTAAACAAGATGGCGGCGGCAATTAAGATCTTTGATGTCAGTGAATCGAATTACAAAAGTAAGCTTCCGTCACATCAGATGAGCCACGAATAAATTTTAGAAACGTAATAACGTGAAATCGTATGTTTTATTTATTACAGCGTGAAGCTTTGAGGTTTTTATGGGAACATAACTGAGGACCACCATAGCGGTGATATTTTTGTAGATGGTAATGTATAAAACTAAAATATTTTTAATTTATTATAATAAAGAACGGTGTATTCTGTTGTTTGCATATATTTATTTTGAAGGTTTTTTCAAACACTACCTAATTTTGTGAAACTACAAATCACTGTTTTTCATTAATTTTAGTCAATATTACACAACGGTAGTGGCAACATTTAGAAAAAGTATTGTTAATTGCTCTGTACGTAAAAGACAAAAGGATGCGTATTTTTTCTTTAGTGCATGACAATAGAATGGTGTACCCATTTGAGCTAATGGTTTACGCTGGCGGGGCGCCAGTGGAGGGTGATAGTGGTGTTGATAATAGCTTCTAGGGGAGTACGCGAGAAGGTCGACCTGATATGGTACATTGCTAGCAATGGGATCATTAGTCCACATTACTAACAATCCCTTTCCCCCCAAGGATGAGTATTTTTTTTATGGATGATATATGGAATGGTGCACCCGCCTGCGCTAACAGTATATGCTGGCGGGGCACCAGTGGATGATGATGAGATGAACATGAGGTCAGGTCAGTTAGCCCATTGTGACAAATTCACCAGGATTTATCAAGTAAATATTACTTTGTTTATGAAATTTCTATTCTTGGAGTTGTATTAATGAATCAGTAAGCCACTATCTTTTTATTAGTAAAACTTTCTTGTGTCTATAACAGAGGTTCCCAAACTTTTTTGTGTCGTAGACCCCTTGCCATTTTTCGGTTTTGGGTAGACCCCCCATTCTTACCTGGTTTTGATTTTTTGTAAATTTATAACGGTAGTAAAATTTTGTGTTAAAAACAACAAGATGACCGCTGTGGTGAAACCCTTGCAGTTTGACATAGACCCCTGGGGGTCCTATAGACCACTTTGGGAATCACTGGTCTATAACTATGAATATATAAAGGAACAGATGTAATATCCATTTGTGTGTTTGTCTGATAAATAAAGTTTATATTATCGTCATTGAGATGTCATTGTATATCTTATCGTATATTAAATACACAGAATATTCGTCCCCGACCCAGATTTTTGACCTATCTTTCCGTGTTTGGTTTGTATTCGCGAAATTGAATATTATTTTCAAGTTAATAAATATAGGCGTGTTCCGGCCACGAAAAAACAGACAATCGTATTATTATAGACTAGCTGAGAACGCGGATTCGTACATTTTAACTTTATTGTTTGGAAATATAATATTGAGGGCCGCGGTGGTCTAGCAGTTTAGCACACCGCTTTGCTTCCGATGGTAGCGGGTTCGATTCCTCACATGTTGCAAACATTTATTTCATGGATGTTCAAAATCTACCCTGTACCATCGTAAGCACAGATTATTATATTAGAGTCCGTTAGTTTGTGTTCCCGCGGTTTCTGTTCCCCTCCCTTACCTACAGTACTGAACTGACCGTACAGCGGCCTTGACGCGCGCGCGCATTGTGTTGTGAATTAAAATAAATTATAACTGTGAAACCTACTGTGAAACTGGAAAGCTAGCGAAGATATCTTCGACACCCTGAAGCCCAAGAAATCCGCAGAACCATACAGGTACGTGACTGACACTCACACTAATTTTTCCCTATATATATATATATATATATAAAGTACTTTCCCTAACATTTTGGTAGCAGAGTAGTTTCCCAAACAATGGATATGATTGTTTGTATTATTAAACAAAGAATTTTGAGTGAATCTTACAAAACTATATTAAGGAATACGTACCTAAACAGGATAAGTTGCTAGCAATGTAATGTGCCTGGTCGACCTCCACGCGGTCGTTCTTGGTAACTATCGTGATAAATTCGCCACGATGTGATGGTCTACCAAGCAAGAAATTATATTTACTGTATCATCCTCCACTGGTTCCCAGCACTGTTAGCGCAGGAGGATACAGCGAGACTTCTGAGGCTGCTCTCGAGAAGGACTACGAAGAAGTAGCGTGGACTCCGCTGAGGGAAGAAGAAGGAGAAGGTGCAGAAGAATATTAAAACGCATTTAATCGTTTGCCCAGCGCAAGCATCAAAACATTTGCTGTGATGAAAAAAAAATGAATTTACATATATTAAAAAAAATGTAAATTGTAATAACAATGATTGAACCCACTACACTTAGTACTCAAGTCAATGAACTTAACATTTGCCTACATAAGTCACAAGATTTAGATTAGACAGTGAAGATAAAACAATGTCGCTATTGAATTACCTTATACATATTAATATTTGCTCTCCTTGCATTGTGTAAATAAAACTTTCATATAAATATGTTAATTTGTATGAAAAATATATTAGTTATTCTGACTTCGTAAGTTACAGTCGCATTAGAGCGAGATGGGAAGCGTTGTCTATCTCTTTTTATTTGCTGCAGCTATGCTCAGCTTCACAATGGGTAAGTTTTGTTATTGCATACTATAATTTTTCAGGGGGGAGGGTAATGTTAATAACGGCAATTAGTGGCCCATTGCTAGCGGCTAAATCCTGTTGATGCGCCATGATCAACTAGTTGATTATTAATAGTAGATTATTTTATGTAACTCAATAAAAATAATAACCCTGGACAATTAACATAGCGCCATCCAGTCTCAAGATTGCAGAGCTTGTGTTATGGGTACTAGACAATTTATATAAATACATAGTAATTTTTTTTGTAAATACATTCAAACATATGTAAAGAAGTATTCTTGAATATAAATGTTTGCACCGTGCAAAGAATTGAACCAGCGACCATCGGAAGTAAGGCGCTATATCAGGCTGCCCACCATGTGGCCTATGTATGTAGGTCTGTTTTGTTTTTTTATTCCTTTAACGACAAGCCAAAAACATCTACTTTCCCCAACCTTAATCGTCTTCCCCCCACAAATCCGGCCAAACAGTTGTTCCTCCGAACTCCAATCGCTATTAAATTACCCAAAATTTTGTAACAAAATTGTGCAAATTTTGGCGAAAACCAACATAGACACATAATGGGTATTGATCACAATCTGATTGTTGTACTGCTGCTGTATCCGGTGTGGGCTGATTTTAACCGGCTTTTTTTATATTTGTCACAACAAAATTGTGCAAATTTTGGCGAAAACCAACATAGACACATAATGGTTATTGATCACAATCTGATTGTTGTACTGCTGCTGTATCCAGTGTGGGCTGATTTTAACCGGCTTTTTTTATATTTGTCACAAAAACATTGTGAAAAGCCACATAGACACATAACGGGTATTGATCACAAAATGACTATTCTACTGCTACTGTATCCAGTGTAAACCGATTGAACGGGCTTTTTTTATGTTTGTCATAACAAATTTGTGCAAATGTTAGGCAAAAGTCAAATAGACACATATTTGGGTATTAACCACAACCTGCTAACTACTGCACTCCTACTGTATCTAGTGTAAACCGGCTTTAATCGGCTCTTTTAAGTTTGTTTTAAGTATGGATCGTCTGGGAGTGTAGTCATATTTTTAAGTTATGAATTTATTTTCACAGCGGAAGAGACTGACCGATGTTCATTGCGTATACAACGTGGACTGTGTTACGCCTCATTTGAGAGGTAAGTTTGTTTGTTTATACTACTCAATATGGTATAAGATTTTCAAAATTCAATACGTTTTCTATGACTATTTGAGACAACAATAATAAATATATCAAGACAATTCACACAGCGCCATCTAGTCCCAAGATAAGCAGAGCTTGCGTTAAGAGTACTAGATTACTGATATAAATAAAGTAAAAAAATTTTTTTTTGCAAATAAATTCATATTATGTAATATAATCTTATCTGTGACTAGCCACTCGCCCCGGCTTCGCACGGGTGTACATGTATTATATATATACACCTTTCTCTTGAATCACTCTATCTATTAAAAAAACCGCTTCAAAATCTGTTGCGTAGTTTTAAAGATTTAAGCATACATAAGGACGGACAGACAGCGACAGCGACTTTATTTTATACTATGTAATGATAACGATGATAATACCTATACGTAGAAAAGACCCAGCCGACACAAAAAATCATACTCATGAATACAAATGTTTGTATAAATTTTATTTATATAATATTTTATTAAAATCGGTCAAGCCAAGGTCAAGGTTTCAGAGGTGTATAGTAACTAACATTGGGACACGAGAATTTTATATATAGAACTAGCTGTGCCCGCGGTTTCACGCGCGTTAAATTTCTATATAAAATATAGCCTATGTTTTATTCTGACGCATAAGCTATGTTACTGTAAACTTTCACTAAAATCCGTTCAGTAGTTTTTGCGTGAAAGAGTAACAAACATCGATACTTACAAACTTTTGCGTTTGTATATTATATTAAGATGAATATGATATAATTTCTGAATGAAATATTGCTGATTTCAGATTTGGTTACGACGCCGATACCGGGAAGTGTGAGAGTTTTATATATGGAGGCTGCGGAGGAAATAACAACAACTTCCGAACGTTGGAGGAGTGTAGAGAGAGATGCGAGGGGACCAGCCAATAAAATATTTTCATAACTTATTTGTTTTAATCAAATCAAATCTAATAATAATAATTATACCTTCACGATAATTCACACAGCGCCATTTAAACCCAAGTTAAGTTAGCTAAAGCTTGTGTTATGGGTACTAGATAACTGACACAAATACATAGATATTTATTTTTTTTGTAAACACATATTATACATAAAAAAACACCCGGACCGATACAAAACAATCATACTCATGAATGTTTGTTTGTACTATGCGAGGAACTCGCGACCATCGGAAGTAAAGCGATGTGCTAAACCACTAGACCACCGCAGTCGTCAAGAATTAACCGTTTAACATACAGCTTTACTTCCGATGATCGCAGGTTCGAATTCTCGCTCAGTGCAAACATTTGTATTTATGAGCATGATTGTTTGAAATAAAACGAAACGAAATGAAATACTGTTCCACTAACAGAAAGAAAAAAATTGCATAAATTAGTAAGCTAGGTGTTAAGTCCGCTATGTGCACCTGTGCAATTCTTAGTACATTTATGCGAAGCTGGAGCTCCAATCAAGCTATGAATAAAATAATAGTATTGCACGGGAATCGAACCCGAAACCTTTTTAAATCGTGTATTAACTCGGTACACTATTAGGCTCATGAAGAATCTCTAACTCATAGTCTATAGCCGTCCCACAGAATACAAAGTATGACGTCACTCGGCCATTAGTCGTGGTATTGTGTCTTTGGTATTGTTGATTTGAATCTGTAGACAGATAGAGTTAGATCGTCATCAATAACTTTTAGATGACGCCGCGGCGGCAAAAACTAAAGGCCGCTCAAGTGCGAGATGAACTTGGAAAAACAGAGTTCCGTATATTTTTAAACTAATATTTATCACTGTGATTTTTATTTCATTTTATAATGAATGAACTAAGAATTAAAACACGATTTAAAAAAATCTATTATATCTATAAAACATTACATTACCATCGAGTAAAACAACTGTATTTTGGTAACCTAAAATATATATAATATTTAAGGATGACCGACTTGGTAATGAACTTTTCGACATAAAAATGTAAAGTTAAAATGATTATTTAAAACAGCAATACGCAATTTTTTACTTGTTCTTCTTGTGATTAGACTGCTTTCCGAATGTGCTGTAAATTGAAAGAAGGATAACTGTGACTATTCAAATTACTTAAATTAAGTTTATTTGAATAAAGATTATTTCTATTCTATTCTATATAACGTTGGCAGCTGTGCTTCTTTTTGCGGTAAGGATTAAAAAGTTGTATAAAAATCACACGGAACCCTAGAATTCGTTCAATAGGCTGGCGTTTCAAATCGATTAGTATTACAATGAGTTCTTAATTGTTATACCCGCTCGGTTTTATAGTTGTTACGTTATTAAATGCAGCTTACCTGTACATATACCAGTGGGTACTTGATTGGAGGCACGTCACACGCAAAAGTGTTCGGAAATGTAATGAAAACTATTTTTATGTGTTCTCTTATAGGAATTATTGTTTCATAAAGCATATATATGTACGTACGTGTCTGTGATGTATATAGATATATACATATAAAATGTTATCGTCAGCCGAGAGTAGAATATGAATAATGAAATCCAAATAATAATAATAATAAGAGATTTCTTTTGGAAATATAAAAATAATAATAAATTATATCAAAAATTTGTGGAAATTTACCCAGAATAATCACATTACACAGCAAAGACTAACAGAAATAGAAATAGAAATAATCTTTATTCAAATAAACTTAATATAAGCACTTTTGAATAGTCAAGTTTTTTTTATTCTACCGCTTATTCGGAATGCAGATTCATCACAAGAAGAATAAGCAAGAAACTTGTGTGTTGCTCTTTTAAATAAATAATATACAGGCAGATAAATGTCTATAGTTAGAAATTTTTAAATAGTCCAATTCCAAACATTCCTACTGATTAAATTAAAGTATGAGAACAAGTGACTTGGTAAAAAACCCGTCCTTGTCTCTACAAAACCAGCTGTAGCTGAGAAATAATATATGTAATAATAATAATAACTCTTTATTGCGCACAGACAAACAAAGACCGATAAAATATAATAAAAAGTTATACCAAAGGCAGTCTTATCGCTAACAGTAATTTCTTACAGACAACCAAAAATACCTTATTAGATGTAATTATGTATCTCTACTACAGATTCTTATGATATTTCAAATCTCCCGTCAGTTTGGAGTGCTTTCGAACTAAGAAGAACTGACAAGAACTCAACTTATTTGATTTTCTTGTTAGTGATCATATTTTCAAATAAGTTATACATAATGAGAGATTTATTTTTAAATTCCTTTGGGGAGAATATCGTGATCAGAAACACATGCTATTGCATTTTTGTCTAAAGAAAATAATCCAATTAGTGGCCGTGGTTACGGCACCAATGCCCACAAACAGCACCCGTTCACGAGTATGACCGATGAGCAGTGTTAGAGCACAAATATAGGTATTAAAAATAGTGGTTGATGGTAGAAGAGAGAAAATTTAGGGTTAATATATTTTAATGTAGAATCATAAAAAAGTGGCCAAAAAAATGCTGCTTATTAAAAAATTTGGAAATGTGTCAGTGCATATATATATACTAGCTGTACCCGCGACTTCGTCCGCGTAAAATAGTGACCTTGACCAAATAATGAAAAAGCTTTAAAACGACAATATTTCCATATAAACATTTAACTCTCTTTTAAATTCCTTACAACCCATTTTCCTTTATTTACATTCAATCAACAGCCTAAAAATCAGTTTCAGGCTTTGAAAATGGCGATATAGCCATACAGCATTGCACCTTTCAATCTCCTTACAACCCTTTTCTACATTAAAAAATACCCATATATATGTATGGTTCAGTAGTTTTAGCGTGAAAGCAAGACAGACAGACAGACAGAGTTACTTTCGCATTTATGATATTAGTAAGGATATCGGGGTGTGAGGTCATGTGCATATTGGCAAAAACATTGGCATAAGGCTCCAAAAAAAGGCACTAAAACTTTTGTACCTGTTTGTACCTGCGTGTGATTCGGTCATGGCGAATACTCACAAATGTTAGTTTGATTGACTTTAAAGAAATGTTTCTTATAGTAACGATTGTTGCGTACTAATGATGATAAAAAAAACAGTTGAATAGCACTAAAATATGAGTAATAGAAACAAAAAACAGCATGTTAACAAGAGAACGAAAGACTAAATATGGAGCGAGTTCGTTATTTTCCTCGTGAAACTAGTACCTACAAGTTATTTGTGGAATATATGAACACGACAAAAAACTGGTTATATTAAATTGAGATATGAAAAAGTTTGTATAGCTATTTATGTATTTATATAAGGATAGTAGGTACCTACACGAATAACTTTAGAACATTTTTAGTGCGATGAATTCTGTATAACTGTGGTCTGTCTGTCTCGCTTTCACGCCAAGACTACCGAACCGATTTAAACGTAATTTGGTACATAGATAGTGTAGAGCCTGAGAAAGGACATATCTAGACACCGCTTTACTTCCTTCGATTCCTCGCACGGTACAAGCATTTGTATCATGAGTAGATGGTTTGTATCGGTCTGGGTAATTTCCATAAAAGATCTCAATTATCTCAAATATATACGAATTGTCCAGGGTTATTATTATTATTATCATGCATAATTATCTGTAAGTTGAAGTGGCAGTGGCCTAATCATATCTGTCGCAGTACCAATGCTCGTTGGAGTAGACGTATTCTAGAGTGGTGACCATAAATTGGCAAACGTGGTGTAGGACGTCCCCCAGCTAGGTGGAGCGACGACATACGTAGAGTTGCGGGTAGTAACTGAAATAGAAGGACTGAAGATCGTGCCCAGTGGCGTGCCTTGGGAGACGCCTATGATGATGTTTGATGATAACGATGCCTGGTAATAAAAATGCCTGGTGAATTTATCACGATGTACTGCCTCGTCTGCGTATAGAGCAGGCACCGTTAGAGCAGGCACTGTCCCATCATTAAAAGAACATACCGTGCAGGCAAGTAATTCAGCCTCTTAATTGCATAATCTGAACGGAATTTTGTCTTAATTTTATCCGGACATAAAGAAATAATTATCAAACATACCAGTTTTATGGAACTAATCTTTAATGACTCCTCGTTAGAATACAATTTTGATTGATTGTGTTATTTTTTTAAATCGATTAAGCATATAAACACGCGCCGAAAGCCGTACTAAATATTTATGTTGGTATGTAGGACTTTTTTTGAGGGTTTTGGGCCAATGTCAGTTGCTAAAACATGTATCACTGTGACCTGCATAGATCTGATGTACTCGCCCTTTTTCAAAGTTCGCTACCTAGATCCGTCAGGGATAAGAATTGAAGGATATTCTTATGAACGATGGTTTTTATCTCCTCAGGAATGTATACTTTCCAAAAGAGATATTTAGTTTATGTTGATTTTTGTTGAGCACAGGTCAAATGTAGGACTTTACGATTGTTTTGCAACTTGAAATTAGGAGAATAATTGGGATTGGTGCAGTCGATGATATTTTAACAACGTATTAATAGATGAAGCAAAACCTTTGTATCCCTTTTTATAAATATTGCGGACGGAAGAGTGTGAAGAGTGAAGAGTTTATAACTATGCATAAAAATAATACATTAAATTAATAATAAAACATTGCCGAAAGAAACATACAAGCTGTAAACAAAAAAGAATTGGACAGAATAGAAAATTCTTTATTAAAATCAGTCATACTTTTTTTTATGCCGCCGCTCTTTTGGAAAGCTGTTTAATCACAAGAAGAACATGTTTTCCTCTCTTAAATAATCGTTGTAACTTTACACTTTTAAGTTGAAATGTGCAACTAACTAGCACTAATTCATTACAGTTAAAATCATAGATACATAATAAGATTAAATCAGTTCTAGTGATTGGAGAATTTGAAGGTATGCATTCTAATTTTATATATTTTATTACTTTTTGTTAAATCAGTCAGAGTCAAAATGTGGTC